TCCTGCTCAGGTCTGCCGTCCTGGGTTGTTGGCTCTGTGCTGAGTTGTCTGCAGTGGCCCTTCTCCTGGCTTTTCTTTTGCCCGTTGCTGCTGGCCTGGAAGCATGTCCAGCTGTCCCATCATTCTGTCAGCGCCGCTGTCTCCCTCAGCCCCAGATTAAAAACGCAAAAGGGGCCGCCAGGAAAAGTGGCTCGCCCTCGTCTCTCAGGACTTATGTCAAAAATGTTTCAGTCCTCAGGTAATTTGCTACAGTCTGGGATCCTTTCACTATTTACTTCAAAGAACCTTGCAAAGAGAGGGAGAGAGAGAGAAATGAAAGAGAGGGAAAATGATATTTAGTTGTGGGTAGTGACAGATCTACATTCTTGAGTATTGACATGCGATGTGAGTGAGGAGTCCTTCTCTAGGGATGCTGACTGAGTCTGCAGCAGTCCTCAAATCTCACTGATAAAAAGCAGTGAATCCGTGGACTGTCTTCCAAAATAGAGCTTAGTCAAACAAATTGACTCAACTCCAAAAGAATGCAGAGTCACTCCTACACAAATAGACAGTTCACTAGACAGTTAAAGTTCAAGGCTTGGAAAATCACAAATACTATTGCATGTGAGTTACAGTCATTTACTTTTGTTGCCCGAATATAAGGAGTGACACCGAATGTGAACAAGTTTATTCAAATTGTAATCTTGGCCGAGGTAGCTTTTCTTAATAAGGGTTAAATTGTCTAAATCAGTATGGTCTTGTAAATGTGCACTAGTCTTCTTTATTTAAATGTTGGGAAGTTCTGCCCTCTGTGTAAGACAATCCCCTGCTGTTGGACTTAAATACAAGCTGGTTAAGACCTGTGGAATGAGGAAGAGAGACCGGAAATGTCAATTCACTTACTTCCCAACTTAGTAAACATCACAATGAATTTTGATTTATTAACCCTTTAATGGTCCCACTTTTGTTTTGTTTTTTGCATTTTATTTTGCATTTTTGTGTTGTTCTTTCTTGGTTAGTTTTTCTATTTTAGCCATAGCCTACCTTATCATTAATGTGTTTTTTGTTTTGCATATTTTCTTCATGTAAAATGTCTAATTATTATTATTGTTATTATTGTTATTGTTATTATTATTGGAAACAGAAGAGAATTTAGTGTTTCCTGTTCCACGTCACCAGTGATCAGAGTGAAATCGCAGCTGGTATTGTGCTTTCATTAGCTTTTTTTATTTCTAATTATTACCAATATTACCAGTGTCACTCTGGACTAACTAATCAGTCATGGTATCGTCGTTTAAACATCTAAAAATAATACTCTGAAAAATCATGCTGATATAATAATTTAAACAAATGTAATAAAATTAGATTTATCATACTGACACTTTATTATCTGTAGACTTTGTGTCCCATGGCAATATTCACCTTTCTTAAAAAACTGTAACTGCAGTAACCTTAATAATTAATAGAGTGAGAGCTAGAGGTGGCTCAATTAGGTTAAGAACAACTAATTTTCAACAAGGCGTCACAACTCAAAATGTGCTCAGGATCATGAAGATCTGTCCAAGTTGACATGATAAAAACTACTCAATCAATCAGAATAAATCAGTGGATCTACTTTTAGCGAATGCAACAACAGATTAGTCACACCCCAGCCCCGAAAGGTTTAGCTGTATATTTTCAGAGTCGGGATTGAGGACCAGCCATAAGCATTTGTCCCGTGGATCTGCTGAGCTACATACCAGCTCAGTACAATGTGCACTCTTGCTGTTTGTGTGTATACTTTCAAGCTGTACAAGTGTGCACATGTGTGATGAAAGAGCTTGACACCAGTCCTGTCTCAGCATTTGGATTTTTGAAATGCACCAACACGAAAGAATTCACAGATCCTCAGCAGGCCATGACAAACCCGTGACATCTCCACAGAGCAACATCTCGAGTTTTCAAATCCAAATCAGGAATGCATGGGTGCATTCATGGCAAACAAAAACAGTGATTAAAGACGGTAACAGGATCAGCTCTAATCAGCGTGTCCTGAGAAAATGCCAAAGAGTTCTCAACCATTGTCAGGTCACTCCGAGAGGTGATCTCTTTCCCTATTAATTATGTGCTGTGCCGCAGCAGTCATCCTCGCTGGCGTGAGCGACCTTCTCTGCTTTCATACATCTGTGCAGAGCGATCAAAACATGCAGGGAGGTAGTGTGGAGAATCAAGCTCACAATGATGTGCCTGCCCTCTCATTTCTCTGACAAAGAACAATGGCCACCTCATAAATGATGGCACTCATACAGAGAGAGCTTCTTCAGCACAAAGAGGAGCAAAGTGGGGGCAAAAAAAAAAAAAAAACCATTATCCAAAGACATGTTCTATCATGTGATAAATTCTGTTTTCTCAAGCCAAATCCTTTGGTGCCTCTCTGCTGAAAATATTCAGGGCTTGTAATAGAGATTTGATCATCAGATAAAGAGTGGGCCGAGCACTGAGAGACAGAAGGAGAGAAGAATGATGATCATGCATCTTGGGCTTATCGCTGATGGAACAGCTCAATAACATCCTCTATTTAGCCCCAATGACAGCCGCCCTTCTATTATCCTCATCATGAGAGGTCAGAGAGGGATGGAGATCACCGGGTCTGCTACGCTCCGCTGTGCCAATGCTGCCCTCTGTTGATCACACGTCCACATATCCTCAGACACTAACTAGTGCCGCATTCATTTTTATCTTCTGCAAATAAATTCAAGTAATTAAAGTTTATCACTGAGATTAGCAGTGACTTCAACAATAAGGCAGTTAGCACTCACAGTGAACATCTAACTACAACTTACATACATGGACTGATTTTGAGACATACGGCCCCCTCTTAAAGAAATGTGTTCTTTACAGCCCACTGTCCCCAATGCTATAGGTTCTGTATAAAATATCACAGGAAACTATCAATGAATGTAGGAGATGTTTTCTGCAGCTTTGTAATGCTGGAAAAAATAAACAAAAATTGAATGAATATTGGATCAGGATCAAGGGCAAAGGTGTGATCAGCTCAGTGACAGAGAGATGCTAATAGACTCACTTCATAAAGAAGCATAGGGACTGACTAAGGGACTCCTGACCCCTTGGGGCATGTGCCTGAGGTTTAAGCATGAAACTGTAAGTTAGCATAATAGAAATCAGTGGTTGGTGAAAAAAAAAAAAAGTGTTAACGTGCAAAGGATGGCAAGGTGGTGCATAGACACACCTCCAGTCAAAATGCTGTGGGGCACATTCTCCACAGTTGGGATGCTAATGGTTTGCTAAAGACTGTTTGTCTTCTCTGCCTGAATAATCTGCAGCAGCTCCATGGAAACCAGTGACAGCGGCAGGTGTTCCCAGTGAGGCTGCTGCTCCGAGGAAACAAACTGTGTCACATTGTTTGTGAGGGGCTTACTGCTGAACAGGAAGTTTATTTAGATTCCTGAGGCAGTTGGCTGGCTGTCTGAATGTTGTGGAGGGTGTTTTGGAGAGACTCTTCTCTCATTTACCACCTACAGTATTTACCACAGGACCAGGAGGTGGCGTGGTTGTCAACATTGACTATAGTTTACTCATTCAGTCCTATGATAAAGTCAGACAGCAAGGTGCTGACTTAGTAGGGTGTCCCACTTTTGCACATGCCACATTTAGTTTAATTTTTTCATATTTTTTACGATCACAAAATAAAAAGTAACAACTTATTGACATTTGAAGAAAAGTCAAACCTTCATTTATGACTGTAGATCTACTCACCTGACATGAACTTAACAACGGGGAACATTAAACTAACTTTTGCCAGATGGCAATGATGTTTACAGTAATATATGGTGTGTCTTAAACAAGTTTTAAAAGTTGATTGTAATACTGCACTAGAATACCAGGAAAGCACCTCTAATAACAAAATCTATGCAGCAAAACCAAAGAAAATGGTAGGTATTGCCTACATTACCCACAATTCAACTTGACTGCTGACAGTTGTGTCTGAGATTTGGGTGTTATCCCAGGAGCAGCAAATGTAGCCTGGAGCCTCAGGCAGAGATGAGGAGCAGTCAGTCACAGGTAAGATCACTTCTTTCACTCCCCACACCCCAGATCCTTTTCATTTTCAAACTTTTAGACTTCAGCTCCGACCACCGCTGACACAGGTGACTCAATTTATCAGACTTCACACACAAAAGGCTTTATACAACTTTTGCCGCATATGTAGTCGCACTCCCCAACACCTGCAACCAGACACTTTGATGTGTAAAAGTTCCCCGTCAGCCCCACTTATGACTTCTTATAACAGAACAGCTGTTACAACAGCTGAACAGTTCTCCATCCTTCCATACATGACTGAGAGCATTTCAGTTGTTTGTTTTTCATGTCTACATATTCTTCCTCCATAATCCATAAGTCATAGAGAGATCATCTAAATAACTGCCTTCCAATAAAGACATGGGAAATAAAGTCTATATAGGCTTTTCTTTTCTTTTTTTTTTTACAGCAGTCTGTGATCACTCTACTGACATACCTAAACAGACCTGTTATTCATCTGCTGTGATAAGTCAAACTGTATATTAAAAATGTCTACTCTGTCTACACCTTTATAACAAGATTACAGACAAGCCTCAAGTAGAAATGATCACAATGACAAAATAGTCCTGCTGACTGTGTTTATGTTTCCTAATGGTATTATTGGCATGCTGCATAAAATGCAACAGGTAGTTTTTGACTTTTACAAAAGTGTATCTATTAGAAAGCTCTTGAACACATGTGAGCTCAAGGGGAGTGAACATAAAAATGTGTTCATAGTGAGTCTATACTTACATAGATACAGTAGATAAATGCAGAAACTGAGGTGAGATTTTAGTACAATTTTTATTTACAAGAGAAATAGAAAATATAGGACATTTTAACAATATATACACTGTACACGGCAGGCATGGAGGGTTGTTCATCTCCTCATCCAGACATTCCAGTTTGTTCCCACTAAGTGGCTCTGCTGTTCTCAGTTTGTCAGTCTCTGCACCTCCTCATCAAAACCAAGGTCTCCACATGGATGAAGAGGAGTTTGGTAGTGACCCCTCCCTCGGTGCGGGACGTGGAGAGGATCTCAGAGCGGTGAGTGGGGGGAAGTGGAGGGCAGGAGGGCCAGTGTGAGAGACCGTGGGCGAGAAACTATAAAAGGAGGTGTTGGAAGATGGAGGTGACAGGCTTGGGGGGAAGGAGAAGTGAGAGGCTAATGATGGGAAAGGGGGAGAGGTGGCATATGTGGAGAAAGAAGGAGAGAACCAGGGAGATGTGGGAGGGGAGAGGTAGTCGTGGCATGGTGTGGAGCAAGACTGAGGCTGAAATGGAGAATGGGATGGAAACAGCGACTTGGAGGACTCGTCTTTTCTCTCAGATGTGCAGACGGCGTAGACGGATGCTGCATCTGGTGTCTCAGTTTCAGTCGTTTTCTGGCCGAAGTCTGGTTTTGACTGCTGGGTCTCTGTGTGATGTTTCAGTCCCTCAATCAGACTTGTTCTCTGGGCCGGTGTTATTTTGTTCATATAGGTGGTCAGCTGAGCCACACACTGCTGAAACCCTGCGCTCTGAATGGTGAAGAGAGGAGCAGGACTAGCCTCTGGGTGATGAAGACTCACCACAGGAGCACGGGTCATCATCTGACTATTAGCAGAGTCTGCAACAAGTAAAAAGACAGCAGAGACACCAGAGATAAAACAAGAGTGTAACATTACAACCCTGAGTTGATGCAGCAGAAACAGGATTCTCATACACACAAAGAGACTAATGAACCAACCATTGCTCAGCTTCTTTCCATCCGTCCACTTCTGAAGATATTCCACAGCCAAGTCCAGAATCTCAGCTTTCTCTATTTTGGGATTCTGCAGTCGCTGCGAGGGGCAACAGTGAAACAGGGGAGGAATTCATTTCATCGTTGTAAGGTTATGATATTTGCCAACACATGTAGTGCAGTTGTTTTGACATGACTCACTGGATCCGATGTATGATTCAACAGCAAAGTTCTCAGGTCAGCCAGACTTTGATTTATTCGATCTCTTCTCTTCTTCTCAACAACTGGTTTCAGAATCTAGAGGAAAGATAAACAGCATTATGTGATTATGATGAAAGTGTGGTCAATCAACAAGGTGTCCCAGGTCATTTTTTGACAATTCAATCAGTATACTGTATTCGCAAATTGAAGAACAATTTTTAGGTTTTAAAAGTTCCTGTTGGTTCTTGTTTGCGGTTTAAAATGTTAGTGAGTCATTCATGAATCTCTTTCTTTTTCGTTTGTCTCCAGCTGCTCTTCAGTTCTTTTCTAAAAAAGTCAGAGGTCAAATGATTCTTCCTGATGATTTAAAAAGACAAAAAACTGTTATGATAAAGAAGGATAAACACCAGCCAACCTGCATGGCACCACAGACGTTGTCCTTATTAATGGCTTATAACTGATGAACACAGTACTGGTGAATCTTTTTTTAGCATATGTAAAGGTTTAGCTACAATTTAAAGGCCTTTCTAAAAGTGAGCGTTATTAGAAAGTGGCCCCCCAAATAAATAAGTAAATGACTTCTCACCCTTTTTCTGCTCCTGGCATCGTCCAGACTGGGGTTTTGTAGTTTTCTGGTCATGTTGCAGTGTTTGGTCCAAATGTCCTGACTGAGAGCTGCAGCTGTTGAAAAAGCCTCCTGCTCCCTGTGGGCGGGCAGAAGTGGACCTCAGGTTGCCTCTGATTGGCTGACAGGTGCGATTGACGACATGTAACCGAAAATGGTTTTATTATCGAAACTAACAATATACCATCTTGACCAACAATCAACGGTATATGCTACATCTTTTCTCAAGTGAAATTATCTGTTTGACAAGATGTCAGAAAGTTTTTTTTTAATTGTCCGGACAGTTGTATTTTGTAGTAATGGCGTGTTATACATGAAGTAGATGAGGAAACATTGTGTAACATCAGTCACAGTCTTAATTCATCCTCCATTTAGCATTAATTTAATTAGTAGATGTAACACATCCTGGTTAAAGCAGCCATGAGGTGAGACTATGGGAACCTGGGTTTTTCTCGTGGGAACAGACACGAAGTGAGGGAGTGAGCAGCTCTGAGGACTTTATGACGTGTGAGACATCGGCACTTTGCATTAAGTGATGAAAAAGACCAAATGAGAGACTGTTGGCCCACATGAAGAAGTGGTAGGCTACAAGACTCTTAGATTCATGCAGCTCTTTATACATTTAGGGTTATGAACGTGGGTAGGAAAAAATACGCAAAATGATGAATTACTTTCATGTGAAAGCAAAGCATTGTTTGGGAACAGCAGGCAAACGGGAGCACAGGTCGCGTTCATCCGCTGATGTGATGAAGTGTGAGGATGATGATTACACCTGAGTGTTAAGTGTGCGCAGCCTCAGCTTCATGCCTCATGTTTGCACTTCACACACGCTCGCTTTCAAAATCAGACCAGTTGTTGACATCTTCCAAACCTGCTCGGCTCCATTTGATTTCAGCCTTATTGTTTTTTTTTTTTTTGGTCTTTTGTCAGTGTGGCTGACACACCCGAGGAGTCACGATATTAGAAGTGAACGGTCCATTTCTCTGCCACCAAAAGGCGCATTTTAAACTCATTAGTTTCCATCACAGGCTCAGGCGACCACATCATAGGACTTATTTATGGGGCGGGTCCACGTGTCTTAAATCCCTATACACACTCCTGCGGGGCCAGAGAGAGAGAGAGAGAGAGAGAGAGAGAGAGAGAGAGAGAGAGAGAGAGAGAAAAAAAAGACTCTTAACATCCAAACGATAAATCTGTTATCCTATTTTTTTCCTGTAATAACTACACCGTCATTTTGATCTTGGGAAAGAGCTTCTTAATATAACATGTATTTTCATACTGTGTTTTTAAAAAAAAGTGAGATATTTATAGCCTGTAGTGAGCTTCCAGTAGTTCCCCAGTGCCATAGTTACCAGGACTGGCCCCTGAGCCTCCACTAATCGCCCTCTCTTTGATTTTAAACGGAAGTATCATTGCCTCTGAAAAGCCACTTAATCTCTACAGGATCCCCGTGATCCGATCATCCCAGTGTTATCTCCACACTTTAGCCAATTATGGGGATCAGGGGTGAGCATAAATGCAGTGCTGAAAAAGCTACCCCAAAACTCAGAGCCCATTCGACTGTAATCCCACTGCTTCTTGGATATAGAAATACTGTAATTCTGAACATTAAACATCAAGCTGCCCCTGCACTCATCTTGTCCAGTCCTCCTGCAAGCACTGTGGAGGGTGTACAACCACACCCAGATAAACACAACAGAACACAACCGTCTAGGTGTGAAGCAGGCAATTTGGCTCTATAGAGCACCAAGCGAGGGGGGTGTGGTGGCTTCACCATTCACATCACCGACCCCAGGAAGAGTAGCCCTTGTTATAACACAGTGGCTAATGGGGATCTAACAAAATAAATAAATCTATCTATCTTTCATTTCATCATTTCAGAGGAGAAACTGGTTGTTGTGGAAAGAAATATATTGAAAATGAACTTGTAATTAGAAACTGAAAATGTAAACAGAAGAACAGTGAGCATAGCAGCTATTCATATATTTTGCATTTTCTGTCCTAGGACCTCCCTGAACTGTAACTAAGGAAAATAGAAAAACAATAAGAGTCACATTCAACAGTTTCACTCTTATTCAGTATGAAGTAGTTTCAGTTGCATCAGACTAATATTTTAGGTTACACTTTCACTTTTTTATCCACTTCTGATCTATAAATTATAATGATCAAAAACAGACTGAGACTTATTGGGTGTTACTTATAAAATCATGTATTTCAATGAATTCAGTTCATTGAATGAATGGCTGCTGAATGAATGAAAGGCGTGTCCAGTAGTGGGCGTGGCTGTGTGCAGGGACATCAACAAATTTCAGTGAGGACACAAACATGAGCCTTTTTCACTTTGGATTCACAGTCAGGACAAACAGACACCACGCAGCTTCTATCATGAAGGTTTTATCTTCACCAGAGTCTCCCGGACAGAGGAGTGTGAGAAGGGTAAGACGATTCATTCTGGCTGTTAGATGAAATTTCTGAAGAATAGAAATCGCCTAATATGTTGTTCCGGGTTATCAATCTAATGTTGAACCTTTCAATCCAAAGGTGTCGAAACCTCTGATGGAAAAACGCAGACGGGAGCGAATCAACCACAGTCTGGAGACATTACGACTTCTGATGCTGGAGAACACCCACAATGATGTACGTCTGTGCGCCACGGGCTATATTTCAGTGACATTATTCCTGACAAGTGTTATGGTATTAATGTCAACACCAGGCAGTTCAGTGAGTAATTTGAATTCTGATTTTCTTGATTTAGAAACTGAAGAATCCAAAGGTGGAGAAGGCAGAGATTCTGGAGAGTGTGGTCCAGTTCCTGAAGTCAGAGAAGGAGGTGGACAGAGTCCTGTCCAGGGAGCAGACCTGTGCCCACCAGTACAACTACCATGACGGCATGAGGACCTGCCTGCTGAGGGTCAGCCGCTTCATCGCCACCAAAGGCCAGGAGTCAGAGGAAACCGGCGAGGACACAGTTCAGGCTTCTTTTGCGCTCCCTGAGTCCCACACGCACCCTTCCTCACCCGAGCACATCCACAAAGCACTGATACCCGCTCCTGCTGGTGACCCGACTACTCTGGCTCCTCAGCATCTGCCCCACCATCACCTCCAGCACGGGATCTCTCATCCGTACCTGACCCAAAGGACTGGCCTCCACTGTGAGACCACGAAGCTGCTTTCCTCCACGGCAGCGTGCACGAACATCATTGATCCTGTGTGGAGGCCCTGGCCTCAGTGACAGACACTTTGACACATATTTTATTTTAGATACGTAGCTCACTAGATGCCAGCAGACTGTGTAAATATGTATTTGATTGTACAGCCTGAATTATCTTGTACAGTGAAGACATTTTCTATGAGAACTCTCACGTGTAAGATGATATTCCCCACTTTGATGTGGCGTTTTTGCCTTGAGATTCACCTGTTTTGCACATGCATTATATGCTATATTTTTCTTTTTTTTAGATTTTGGGTGTAAATATGAGATGTTTTTAGGCGGGACTGTCCGCACATTGCTGTCATTTTTACACCAATACCCTATTCTATCTATTTGGTGATGCTGAAACGCGTGCGTAAAACTGTCTAGACGCGTGCGTAAAATAGCTTTTCTGCTTTGACTTGACTTTGACAGGGATGCTATTCTATTTTTGCTTTGTTCTAGGATGTATATATTCTTGTTGAATTCTATGTTCCGTTTTGCAATAAAAGTACAATTTCCTGATCATTCCAGATCCTTGGAGTGGCCTATTTGCTGTGTGAATAGCTTGCACTTGAGTGGACTATACCGCTGCCCTTGTAGAGAAAGGGGGGATATCTGCAGGACCGTTAACACATACTTTATCCAGCAGTTTTGGCACATTTTGTCTTTTGAAATGTTGATGGTAGAGAGCCTGTTGCTCCTATGATCTAAAGAGCAGTTTTTCAAATGTAGAAAAGCAAACCGGAGTGGTCATTCACACACTGTCCAGCGTCCAGACTGCTTCTGGTGATCTACAATCTACAAAAAACACAGACTTCTAATTCTTTCAGCGCAAACCTCTTTCACTTTACTATGTGTGGTGTATTTAATATCAGTGAATCGATTAACTATACAATCGAATAATCCGAATCGAATAATAAACTATTTGACATGCGCTGTATAATGGGCATTTGTAGAGAATTCCCACTGTGTTACATAAAGTAGGAAAATACATTTCAAAAATCAGTTATAACGGACCTGCAGTATGTATCAGTCTTTTCCCGCCTTCTCAAATCCTCCAGGTGCAGAATGACGCCAGTTAGTGTTGATCAGTCCACATCAGCTGCCTCTGATGATGAGGGAGGCTGCAGCAATCCCTGTTCATTCAATGTCTATTTTGATGTCGCCGAGTCTTTGAAAATAACACAGAGGCAGCATTAGTGACAGTGAATATGTCGCGATTAAGTGTGATTAATCAAACACAATGTGGCGTGCAAATATGGAAGATGGATTCACTTCTTTACAAAATGTTCAGTGGGAAGTTTTTAGAGCCTATTACTCTGAGTTGGTTCAGGGTAGCTATAGTTTCAGAGTTTGAGGTTTTGTTTATTGGAGGAAAGAGTCTGGATGCTGTGAGTGTGGACAGTGTGTTAATGGTCACTGTCGTGTGCTTTTCTACATCTGAAAAATGGCACTTAAAGCGCATGCTCCCACGTATCAACATATCAATGCACGCTAGATTACCTCATAACTGCTCTCCATCCTGGGTACAGTATGTGCTAACTGCCCTGCAGATCCTCCCTACTACTGGAAATGTGCGCCTCTTCATGGGCAGGTCATCTCCTGACCTCACTAAAGTGCCTGACCTGAAGATACTTGTTATAGGCAATTACTATAAGGCCTATAAGTTAAAAGTGGATGATGCATGTGGATATGTTTTCTGGTTAAGTAAAATAGTTTATCCCATATTGTGATGACCCATATTTAGACTTAACTGCCATATCTTGTGACCCTTTGCTAGTGCAGTGCTAATGCACGCATTCCTCCAAAGCCTGTCTGAAAACATCTTGAATCAAAGGAGGTGTTAGTCCCGCTGGGCTGATCTCTGGACAGGATGCTCCTTTGTGCTTTTCAGCTTAAACCCCCTGGTGAAAAGCCCACAGGACTAAGTAAATCAATTAAAGATGGAATCAGATTAGGGTTTCATTTGAGGGGCATCTATCTCAATGAAGATTAAATTTATGGTCAGTCTAAGATTAGTTCAGTGCGGATGTATCTGCTTACAGCTTTCTAGTTTGTTTACTTTAGACAAAAAGCATGCGGAAATTTATTCAGAGTGACTGGAGAAGGACATTAACCTTTATTTGCAACAGATCTGTCCAGTTTTACTAAACTGAACCATCAGACACCCAGCACAATGCTTAACATTTCAACCGGTGGTTGTTTCTGCAAGTGTTGGTTTTTACCACATCAGCGCGAACACAATAAACCAAAGTGATAAATCACCGTTTGGCCTCATCAACAAACCATTTGATGCCTTCACTTCACATGAGCCAATTCTCCATGATATTTTTTTTATAGTAGGCTACCCCCATAAACTTTCTGGGGTTATTTAAAGTTTGTCAGGAGGTTATCAGTTTTTAGTTCATGAATTTTCTTGGGCTACAGCTGTCACACTTGCAGTTCTACGCTTGTTATAATGTGAATAAAACACATAAAACGACCGAATAAACTGCAGAATTAGCTTCAGTTACACGTTCACACACTACGTTGATTTCTTTCTATATTTTAGAGACTGTGTGGGGGATAATGGTTACCTTAACCCGTGGCCACGTGTCGGCTAAGCTTTACAGCTGTGGTCTGGATATTGGGAAAACACCGCACCTCAGGGTGTTAATGGGTTTGCCGGCACCCACGCGCCACAGGTGACAAACTCGTGTAAAGGGACAGCTTTGTGAGGCAGTGTTATTATTGCACATCTGTGTTTGTAGCTCACATTCATTCATTACAGGCTATAAAGCATTTTCATGTCGCCAAGGTTTGTGTGTCCCTGAGTACAGCACTTCTTTTCTATTTAGTTTTAAGCTTTGATGGTTTTACGCAAAAAAAATAAACTTCTCGACTCCGGGTTCAAGCTTTTTTTATTAAAATACCCTCCACTCTTTGACATAGCCTACCATATAAATTAAATGGTAGTGTGTATGCATTCAAAAATGTGATACCTGTACCCTGTGTGTGTTGGTTGGTTGCACACAAAGACGTTATATGAAGATACTACGTTAGTCTAATGAGCTAAAAGACTATTTTGCCATTTGGCTACAACTGTCGCTCAAAGGTCTTCATGCATCAGTTTACAGTGTAAGAGCTATAGCAGATTATCTTAAGAAGTTAGCCTAAGGGTACAGGCCTACACAGTCATTTCATACAACTACAGCGGACTGAGACCTGGTCACTCAGTAGTTAATAATATGCAGGCGGCTTCTAGCGTATATGTAAATTCGTGCTAGATATCTCAGCTAGCTACTACTGAGGAAGTTTTCGTTCTAAAAACTGTAGAACACTTTTGTTTTTGATTATTCATGTTGCCTAAATCCTCTGCTGGTGGTGGACTGTGGCGAAATCACATTAATTTATGTGAACAATGCTCCACCGCTGTGCCTTTTTCCATGGCTGTGAGCTGTGGGGCGGGTCTGTGACTGGACAACATCTGCTCCGGTGGCCACAGGCCTGCCCCAGTAATTAAAGCAAATGTTCAACAATCACACACACACACACACACACACACACACACACACACACACACACACACACACACACACACACACACACACACACACACACACACACACACACACAAACACCAAACGGTGCTGCATAGGCCTTATTTTTATGATGTAAGATCTATCAGTTCAAGAGAAACTCCACTAGCATGTTTAAGTTAAATGAAAAGGTATGACCTTTCATGAAAAAAATGTTTATTAGTAACAAGAGAAAAGTCACAGTAATAACACTGTAAATTAATGACAAGATACAAGCAGAATTTACTCAGTAGATTTACACTGTATTATGACTATCCCCCTCTACTTAATCTGAGTGTATATGTGTGTGTGAGCATGCATGCCGCTTCATCACTCGGTCAGACTTTGCCAACAGCGAGGCCTTGAGCTTTCTGGAACTCCTGCTGTAAACTGGACAGGACTTCTCGGTGCTGTTCAGATTTCTTTTCCATCTCTTTCAGGAGGGTCTCATACCTTTGACTGTAACAGGACAAAAAACAGAAGAAAAATTTTACGCTGCTGAAGAAACACCAGAACACACACTTGACCACAGTTATGTACACTCAATGCACTCACATGAGAAATGTTGCTCACATTTCTATATAAAATAACCCTTTTTGACTCCATGCCACGGTCTATTGGGTAATGAGAGTGAGTCTGTCCCACAAACATACATAGGAGGATAGTTAATGGGAATATTATGTAAAATGCAACAAAATGCAAATATGCCACAAAAAACTATAAAGATGAAACAAATCTGCTTTTCTCATTGTTTCTTATTGTGGCATAATACACAAACGGATGCAGTAACAGTGTTCATGTAATCACATGGAGAGAATAAACACTCTGTAAACAGAGATGTTGGAGGGTCAATTTTAAACAAAATGCCTGACCGGTTATTAATCACAATAACACAGCTAAGGTCAATCTCAGTTTCCACACCTGAGCTTTTTGTGAGTATTCAATTGTGAACATGTGTAATTCATTTCCTTTAAGTGCCAAACCTAGGTCACACTTGGTCAATGAAGACATCTTATCATTCATCTAAACACACAGTTTTGTCACTGGGGGTCAGATGTTTTTTGTTTTTATGTTGTTGTTTTTTTCTTCAATTTGTATGATTAACAAGAACTACATTCAAGGCGTCATATAATAAAATTCACTGTATAATTTACTGTATAATTTACTGTATACCACTCGCCTCTTCAACATTAAGCTAAAGAAGGCTGCATTTATCGACAACATTTAAACTAGCCATCAAACAGGAAAGCTTTCATTGGCCCTTAATGATGTATTCAATGTAGATACGAAGACTTTGCAAGATCCATCCCAGAATTGGGTCACAATACCTGAAGCAGAATAGAGCAACTGTGCATCAAGGTTAGGATAAATGTACTGCATGTTGGTATTCTTCAGAATAGGAACACATTTCTGTCTTTACCTGGTGGCATGGGAAGAACCGCATGATGACTCACAGCTGCAGTCTATTTACACAATATGTACCGGTCAAAGTACCTTCTCAAGGCATCAAAAAATAACCATAACCCTAATTTAAGTTCCAGATGTTATGGTTCATTTAACCAAATATCTACATTAAATTTCACACTCAGGGATTGTTTATAGTAATAGAATTTCAGTGACTACTATCAACTGTTGTAAATCCTAGCTGCAATCTTTTCACTTTTCTTCAAAGATTATCATAACATGTGCACTCTGGCAACACACAAACTGAGGTGGCTGAGTATTGATGATAATTTATACAATAGGATCATTAGGGGAAGTGAATACCAACATGCCTTTTTGTATATTTCTGATATTCAAAATATATTTTCTTGTGTAGACAATCCAAAAACTGGTGAAATTGTATCCTGAAGGACTTCATGCATGAGTGCAATGGAATGAACCAAAGTTTAGTGACTCACATTTCTCCGTTAATATACTCCAGCCTTTTTGCAACTGTGGCTTTGGCCTCATCCAGTTCTTGCTTCACTAATACTGGACCAATAAGCTTATAAACTATGTTTGTGCTGTCCAGCAGATCCAGCTCCTGGAAAGAGAGAGAGGGGGAAGATCATATCTTTAATACTGAACACTGCCTTTATACAACATTTGAAGAGCCAGCAACACTGACTCGAGTCATGCAAAATAAAATATTAGAAGGAAAATGTGTTGTTGGTTACCTCTTTGACAATGTTGTTCTCTGTCAGCTGCGTCTCCAGCTTCTGTCTGGCTGACATGCTCTTGCTAACATCTGAGCGACAGACAGGCATTTGCTTATGAGTTACTGTTGTTATCAAATTTATTATAATAATACAATGAAAATATTGCTGCGACCATAAATAATAGTTTAAAACGTGCAGGAAGTGTCAAATTAGTTTGTTTAATGTACGAGTATGTATCCTAATATGGTCAGTTAGCTTGCTCACAACAACATGGCACGATATGAGAAAAATGAAATGCTCTGCTACCACCTACCTTTCTGCATCTGTGTATATTTTTCTAATTCCGCTTTTAGTTTCTTCTGAATGGCCTCTGCCATGTTTGTGTTTGCTCGAATAAGAACTACGGACCCAGTAAATGTATCAAAGAGTAAATAGCTAAATGTGGTGTGGCATGAAGGCTCTGTGTTAGCTAACAGGAAAGGGCAGCGGCTAGAGCGGATGTTAGCTGATCACTTCAAAGTAAGAGCCCTTACTACTTCAGGGGGGTATTCATGTCAAATAAACTCGCAGAAATACTCAAGATGCATAAATAAATGAGCATTAAAAGCATACCCCAATGTGTATATATATATATATTTATATTTAAATGTGTTCTCGTCGCTTTCTTCCAGTTGGTTATCAATTTTGACACTGTCATGGTTGCGGCTCTTTACGACATTGTTTTACGACACTGCACACAGTTCCTCATCTCTCTGGTTCAAGATGGCCTCGTCGTTTTGGAAAGGTGTTGTCGGCGTCGGACTTTTTGCCTTAGCCCACGCAGCTTTCTCAGCGGCACAGCGTAAGTATCAGAGCAGGGAGTGAAGACACAGGTCTCGGCATCTTTGTTTACTCTGGGGGGAGCTCTGTTGTCTCCCAGCAGGTGGATAAAACAACAGGATGGGCCTTTCGGTCCAACAGCTAGCTAACTAGATGCTAGCGCGGCTTAGCTCCGCTTTGAATTAAACAGAGATTTTATTTAAATCTGCGGTCATTATTAAAATGCCACGGCCAATGATATGTAACGGCTCGTGTGACTAGGATAATCTTGAATCTTAAAGTCGATTTCACATCAATCCATCCATTTTTCCCATCAGATCGATCATACATGCGACTCACAGAGAAGGAAAACGAGACGCTACCAATTGATGTGAGTGACTTTCACCATTACAATGTGAATTTTCTGATTTCCTTTTACAACTAACCCTAAATAATTGCTTTTTCTATTTATCACTGTCTTTTTTCTGTTGCAGATTGTATTACAGACCCTATTATCGTTTGTGATGACCTGTTACGGTATTGTCCACATTGCTGGAGAGTTTAAAGACATGGATGCTTCCTCGGAGCTGAAAAACAAGTAGGTTGAATTATTCTGCAGCACCTTGCTCCCCTGACAATGTAGTTGTTTGCGTCCACCTGCCACAGGGGAAACATACAGTCCACCACCTCACCTGCATTTATAGCAACGTTACTTTGAATCAGTTCCCACAGAGACACACCAACCCTGCCTAAGGCACTGTTATGTTATAATGTGGCCTGTATGTTGAGAAGGCCTGGTCCTTCAGCCAGTCTGTTAAACATAGAGCTGCTTCACCATCTTTTTCATCGTTGTTTAATTTGCAATTACTTTTTTGATTAATTCCTTTATCATTTAGTTCATGAAGAATGAAAAAATTGTAAAATATATATATATATATATTGTTGACAGTTTCTCAGAGGCTACAATAATGTCTTTGGTTGGCTTGTTTTGATTGACAAACTAAAACCTTTAGCTAATCAATTCATTGTCATGTCCGACAAAGAAAAACAGCAAAACGTCATGATGAATCATCATGAAAAATGACTGGAACAATAAATAGATGATCGTAATAGTTTCCAATGGATTTGTGGATGGATAAATGTAAACAGCAGACACATAAGACTGAAAAGATCAATCATATATTGAGAGCATTGAATAAACATTCCAGCAAGCGACAAGAGTATAATAATAAGGCATCTACAAAGACTGTTCTTGTATTATTTTATTTTGGTAAAAGGCAGTTTCACCTTTTTCTATCTGCTGAACCCATGGCTTCCATGGGAAATCATTAAAATCTAAGGAAAAAGACTTGATTAAAAAAAAAATGGAAAAAACATTTTGGCTCCCTAAAACAATTAAATATGTTGTAGTAGTATATGCAGTACGACATGATGGTCATTTTAGATTAACTTAGTTACAACCACTAATGTTTTGATGATGCTAGGCCTGAAACAAATGATTATTTTATCAGTCCATGTTTTAATTATTATTTTGATTAATCAGTCAGTCTATGAAATGTCAGGAAATCGTGATAAATATCAATCACAGTTTCCCAGAGTTCAAGGTGATGTCTTCAAAACCTGCAGATGTTCAGCTTACAGTTTTATAAAACAAAATGGCAAAGGAAAGGCTTCAGCAATTAGTTAATGATCATAATCGAAAATTCTTCCACTCACCACTAGATAATCTTCAATATTGTGCCACTGCTTTGTCCAAATCACTACTTTATTATTTATATTCCACCATATTCACCCAGAACTATGAACCATTGTATGCCACAAACTTTGTTGCTGATTGTTTTTTCATATGTAACCTTCCAGCAAATGAACATGGGGTGAAAGTGCACACTCTACTGTACAGTGATAACGAGACGATCATGGGAGGGTTTTTGAGTCTATGTGTAAGGATTTTAATACCAACAGGACTGATTCCTTTACTTATAACTCTGTATTAGACTTTCAAAAGAGGAGATTAAATGTGTTGCTGTGTACAGAAACATGAACTGCAGAGGGATTTAGTTTTGTGTGACTCATACAGTATAAGACACCTGCAGCAGTAGGTGTCCAACATGTGCCGCCTGTTCATGTCTTTGAAAGCAGCACAATATTTGTGCAGTACCAACCTTTTCATAACTCAAATTATATTTTCCAGAACATTTGATACACTGAGGAACCACCCATCCTTTTACCTTTTCAATCACCGGGGTCGGGTGCTATTCCGCTCGCCGGAGGAGGAGCCCTCCTCTGCACGCAACCAGCAAGCTCTTCCCAACCCCATACGGCTACGCAAGCTGGAGCATTTGCACTGAGACTGGCCTTTTCCTGCCTGTAACATCATCTACGTCAGATAAGATTTGTTTTTGTTAGACAGAGGGGGCAAAGTGAGAATTCATCTTCCTCTACTTTAATTTGTATTTGTATATGAACTAATATACTGTCCAAACCTGCATCTATGTCCATAGAAGTGGTCACTACCATATTCAACACTGACTGTGCCAACCCTTCAGTTTTTCAAGCAGATTTGTTTGTATATACAGTATATAAATGCTTTGGAGACTTAAGATACTGAGACATCTCCCCCCTTTTGTCCCTTCTGAACTGAATTGGGATTATTGCTGTCCTTTGTATATCCTTTGTATGAGGGGCATAAAAATGCCTGTTTAGTTACTGTTTCATTTCAACCACACATGAGTCTCGAGCAGCTGTATGGGAAGAATTTTGTTAACTGAAATGAGTTTTGTCGTATGAACTGAGGACCTTTTATTCCCTTGATGATTTCCCAGAAGCATAAAGGCTCGTCTGTACATCCTGTATGCAATAAAGAGGTTTGATTTATGCCACAGGAAATCAGCTCAAGGTGAGAGATGTGAGAGAAGAAAACATTAGACAGCCGTTCCAATGATACTGTGAACACTAAGGCAAATTAGAGAGCAATGGTACATTCATTTGGGTGAAGTTAATTTTCCCGTCATTTTACCTTTTTGTTAAGATGCAACAGATTGTTTTAATTTAATAAAAGGCATACTGATTTTATAAGGTGTCAGAATCTTTTTTTTAATTTCAGGGGCTGGAAAGTTGCTTTCCCCAAACAGAAGTGATTGAATGTCTCTGTCACAAACTGTAAGGACTGTTGATCAGAAGAAACATAAAGGTATCAATTATTTACTGTGCTGCCATCCTTTTTTATTTTTATTAAATATTAAGAAATTGGTTAGAAATGTTAATGCTACCACAATGCTTTTAAGTCACTCCAATAATGACTGCATGCAGGGGTGGGCTATGAGCCTGACCTTGCTGCTGGACAGCTGCCTCACAAAAATTTCCACCTGATCTAAAGACCCGCAGTTGTAGATGTTGGCCTCTAGGTGTCAGCGGAGGCTGAACCTTCAGTCTGAGTTATCCAGGAAGCTTCTCAAGCTGTTAAAACTGTTAAACAGCACCAAGTGATTTACGTCAATCTCTCCTCTCTATTAGTTTCAGCCGAATGTTTTCTCTTTGATTAAACGCATGTATGGTTAGATTAGTTCCAGATAAGAACTTATGTTATATCTGATGGATTTATTCATCAAATTAAGTATATGAGATGACAGTTGAAATGTTGTCTTTATTTTATGAAGCTATCTAGTTAGTTTTTTGTAATGTGCAGAATATGGAGGAAAACTAATTATTTTTTTTGTATGGAAGGCTTAGGAAAGTCTTTAATAGGTTGTGTGGTTCCAGTAGGTCAGTGGGTCGCAAGATAATTCCTAGAGGTCATGAGATAATTGAAAAGAGGACAGCAGAAAAACTTGTTTTTCTTTGGTTAAACTGGACAGAATCACACAAATGAACCTGTGCACTGTGGGACAGCCCCTACAGCTCTCAGACAGCCCCTCCACAACACATGAACCCACACACACAATGCAACTGGTGACAAGAGGCCACACTTAGACATTGCTGTTGTTACTGTTCTCTGTGCACCTAGCTGTACCTGAGAACAACGCCATTCCTTTGTGACCGACACTTTTTCATACTCAACAGTTTATTTATAAAAACTGTTTTGTCGTCAATATCTGCTGAATCTAAAATCAAGGTTTTACAATAGATTTTTATCCATAAACAAAACAAAGTATTAGTGATTTTGAAACTGATGAAAAGCTGAATTTACAACTTTAGCTAATAATGTTCCAGACTGTTCTGAGAACGTAAGTCAGATTCAGTTCACACATCGGTAGATAAAACGTGGATGATTCCAGGAGATATAAATTAGAACTGTTGTGTGTCTGGATGTAAAAACATTTGAAGACCACTGATTGTCACTTCTGAGTAGGAATACACACACTGACACACTGACAGTAGACACCATTCTACCTGTGGTTTATTTTTTGTTTTTTTAAAAAAACTGAATAAGTGCATAAAACTTTACACTTTGTATATGTATTTAACAGTTTACAAAATTGGCTTTAAACATATTCTTTCAAAATATTTCTTATACTCTGAAATAAACAAATTCACAAAAATAATCTATATTCCTTATGAACATTAAAAAGTAGTGTACATCTGTCGTAAAAACAAGGAGAACAAACGTTAACTCGGGTTTCTGTAAAAAGCAGCAGAGGGCAGATGACCAGTTGTTACAGATCAACAACAGGTGACTGACCACTGAGCCCGGACAGATGCAGAAATTCCTCTGAATAAAGTTCTAGGAATCAATGGAGTGTTTGTTGTGCTGTGGAGGAAGATTTGTGTGTGTGTTTGGGGGGGGTACCTCTAAATGGATACCAACAGCTGCATTCACTGAACCCATGTTCTATTGCTGTGATGGCAGGTAAGAGGACTCTGATGCTCAGTCACTGAATCAGTCAACACACCTGTCTTGTGTTCAGTCTTTCATGGACACAACCAGTCCATTTCCAGTCCAACGCACCGATGTGCAAAACACTAATACTTCTATATTCTATGTTCTTCAATTTCAGCTTTAAAAAGCACTGTTGTATGACAAAACATAAAAAAATGGACCCAGTTTGGACATTTAAAAGCAACGTAATGACCTTAAGACAGACGTGTGTGAAGTTTTTACCTTTTTTGACTAAAACTGCAGATTAGGGGTGGGCAATATGGCAATCGTCCAATGAGCTGAGAGAAATGTGACAAATGAAATTTGGATATGTTGGAGCTGTGCCAAGATTCGTCAGCTATTTCATTGATGGTGTTAGCCACATATACACGTTTCCATCTGGGTATTTTATCTTTCAGTGGTTTCTCTTCCAGAAAAGTGACACTGTATATAGTATAGTATCACTGTATATATTGCTGATGCAACATAAAGTTACATAAACACTCACAGATTTTATCCATATTGCCCACCCCCTAACACTAATGCATATCAACATCAACCAATAGGAGTGGGAAAATATTAGATAACAGTATCAACTTGGACAGAAAAAGAATCAGTGCAGTCTTTATGCAGATATAACACTAAAGACATGAGGGGACTCAGTGGGAACAGGTTTCCCCTGTCAGCCGTACAGGTACATTAATCTTATTACTCTAGAAAAACTTGTTGCAGTCTTACAAACACTTTTCAGACCAGCTGAAGAAAGGTCTGTTTTTAAAGAATAACAATAACAGGAATAATCCTGCCCATCCCTTGCTCTGTCATTAAAGGATCTGTTGGCTTATTGTGTGTCTGTCTAACGGAGTGTGTGTGTGTGTGTGTGTGTGTGTGTGTGTGTGTGTGTGTGTGTGTGCGTTTGTTTGTGTGTGTGTCTTCTGAATGTGCCGATACAGACAAAAGCCGTATGGATGTTTAAGGCATCTGTCAATATGAAGAGGATTACATTTAAAGTCTCTGAACTCATCCTCAGTGGATCTGTGCTGAAGGCCCCTCCTCCAGTTAAACCCTTCACTCTCCGCCTCTACCAGGATGTGATGCAACAGCACAGGGACAGTAGGAGCATCTGCTCTCAGTGCATTTGTCCTTTTCTTCCTCTGCTTCCCCAATTTGTTTTTCTTGAGGCAAGTCAACAAGGACATCTCTTTCATGGTGGTGATGTATATAGATATGTATGATAAAGATGGCTTCATCACTATCTGCCATGATCGTTGGGAAGCTGTGAGGATGCTGCGTGCTTCTTCTCCAATTCAGCAAGGGCCAACTCCAGCTGCTGGATCAGTACCCGCTTCTTGAACCTGGGACAGACACACAAGAAACGGAGAAGAAGCAGGAAGATAAATAGGGAATACTAAACGTAATTATGCTTTAATTATTAAGTAAAGGGAGGAAACATCCAGAAACAAGCCAGGGGAGATTCATGAAGGTAAACCTGCTTTAAAAAGCACTGGAAATGATTGCAATGAGGTTATGAGTCATTGTTAATAGCTGCAGTGCTTCAAAGACACTAAATCTACAATATAATGTAACTGCAGCGACACGGGTCTAAATGACTCATTGAACACTCGTATCAGAGGCAAGACTGGCAATGCTTTAAAAAGATCAAGAACTCTTCCACTTTATCTTGTAATGAAAAAACTAAAGAATGAGTCACTGTTTCTTACCTGACAGCCTCTTTGATAGCGTGCTGGATGAAGTACCTCTGCACATTAAGTGGTCCTTTCACCTGCTGCAATAGTGACAGTATTGCCTCATAGTCTGAGGAAAAAGCAGAGACACAGACAGAGATAAAGAAACTGTTGAAATGTTCCCAACATTCAAATGTAATGTGATACACTACACCGTACTCACTTCGTCCAGGCTTGCGGACCTCCTTTATGACCCGCGTCCGCAGCTCTGCTTGGCTTCCATCCAGTGGGGCTATGAAAATGGTCTCGAGCGCTGCAGGGTCAGCTTCAGGGCCTTCTAGCTGGCTCTGAGGACTCAGACGTTCACAGTTGTGTTTCTCCTCCAGCGGCTGCTCATCCAGACAATCCTCCGTTAGTCTCTCCTCCATCATGTTGACATCCTCTCCCCGATCCACTGCCCCGACCCCGGCCTTCTCCTCCACGGGTAGTGCAGATGGGTTTTCTGCTACGGGCTCCATATCAGCGGGCCAGAGCTCCCCTGACTCAGGCCCAAGAACCCCGTCACCGTTACTCTCAGGGACCACCACGTTGTTGCCGTCCACTCCTTCAGGGGAAAACAAAGAATTATTTACAACTACTAATCAACGCCTCTCAGGCTGTATTACACAATCACTTCCACGTATTGCACAGATAGTGTTACCTTTGTGCTGTGGGATGGGTTTGATGAGGTTCTGCTGCCCCTGAACCCCTACCGGACTCTTTCCCACCACCACATGGTTGGTGTTCCCTGGTGGAGACTGTGGCCGCCGCAGCAACGGGGACATACTTCGCCTTCTCTTCAGAGTAGCCCCCGAGTTGGAATCACTGGAATTTCCTCTTTTCTTATTTTGAGGCCCTGCTACAAACTCATCTGCCTCATCGATCATCATGCCCTGAGATAAACATTTGAGAGACCATGACATTAAAGGATGAAAGAAACTAGATATTGAATGAAAAAACATGGCATCTAGCATTCAGTTGGAATAACCAGCATTATATGTTGATATATTACTAACCTTCTTATCCTGCTTGAAAGGATTCCCAAATGTGTGCAGACGTTTCGGTTGGTCGGGGTCAATCTCTCTGAGAGGAGATGGCATCATTTTTAGGTACTCCTGATAGTTTCCCATCTGAGCCACTGGAATACTGTGGAGATAGTCTAACAACCAAATTAAATTTTATTAGTATTAATAAAATACTGCAGTGATCAAACAGCATTTCCTATATATGTGTTGGTGTTTTGGGTTATCTGGTGGTTTGGGTTAGTATCATTCCAATATGTTAAATGGCTCCATGAACACTGCAGTGCATTCTTAAAGAAGTCATTAAAAATAAACATTGTTGCATACAGTAGATGTTTTGAAGTGTTGTGATAGCATTTCAAAGACTGGAGATATTTGACTATTTAAAGATGTAATTAGTTGCTGAACTCCCTCAACTTAAGTAGTGTAAAATAAAACTAAAAAAAATAAATATCAACTGACATGAGACTAGAGTTGCTTTAATGTAACGTTTTCTTTTCATCCTGTAATGAGAATAACAAACCTTCGTCTTGCCCTCGGATCAGTTTCTGCGATGTCCGCAGCAAATTGGAGCGCATGCGGGTGAGCTGATCCAGAAGGTTCCTTCTTGGGATGTCGTACGCATTTCGATAAGCTTGAGGTTTTACATCCTGTGAACACATCGGTATATCTAGTCAGACAAAAACCCACCAAACATGGCACCTGTCCTGTTTTCTTTTTCTGGGACTTTCCCACCCACATGCTGTCCTGAATCTACCTTGTTGAGCAGGGCGATCTGGAAGCCGGCGAACTCTTTGAAGTTGATGTCCACCAGTCGAAGCGGCCCCTCCCCAGTGATTCCCTGCAGCAGCTGCTTAAAGTCTCTCCGGTGGGCCAGAGAGAGAGAGCTGGAGTGGTTCTTCACCTTTATGCCAGTTTCTTGGGGAGCCTTCTTCCCCACAGACACGATTAAACGGTCTGATTCAATCTTTGCCTTCATTGCAACAAAAAGAGGGGAAAAAACACTGCATTTTACTTTCTGTCCAGATAATACAATTCTAACTGAGATGAGATTTTGGTAAGGAATATTGTTATATAAATAACTGTAATATCATATGGTGCAATACTTTTCCTATTTATCTTGAAAAACTACAGATTCGACAGAAAAAAGTCATACGTGTAATATCATGGTCCACAGTAAATGCTCCCACTAACCCTCTTTTCCACTGTTACAGTTTTTTGAAGCTTACTCAATGTATTATCTTTCATTATGCTTGTATTGTGTAAAGTGTTGCATTTAAATTAAATAACAAACTGTGTGACCTTATTCCAATTTACCTTCCCTCACATACATACAAGTCTAGAAAAAAGCATCTTAAAAAGAGTAAGAAACATAATCTTGAATGTACAAGGTTTAGTGTGGTTTGCAGGGGTCCACAGATGTGGAATGAGCTTGATAACAGTCTTAAAGTGTCACTATCTCTGTCTGTTTTTAAAAAGAATCTAAAGCAGCAGTTGCTACTAAAATGTTTTTAAAACTTATACACCCTGAACGGCTATTATTTTCATTTACCATTTATTTCTGATTGTGTATCTCATCTATTGAATTAATGTTTAGACTGATGGAATAGATGTTTTTGGACCATTTAGTTACATGCAATGACCGGGCCCCTATTCACAAGCTTCTTAAGCTTATGGGAGTGTCCCATTTTCACCCATTGCTATTATCATGTTTGTATGCTTTTACTTGTATTTAATTCTGTGTGTGAAATAAATGAAATGACATTATATATATATAATCAAACCTTTTACAACATCAGAATAAATAACTAATACTAACTTAACTTGTGGCCTTGTTGTACACTTTATATTAAGACTTGTCAGTCAATTTGAATTGGAAATTTCCTTCCAGAGTGAAGATAATATCACATTCAAAGACACTTTATAAGTGATGAGCAGACTAGCTGTGTGTCAGTGCTTGGAAATGATGTTAAGGGAACCTGTGTACAAGGAGTTTTTACCTGCTGGCTGAGCTTCTTTAGATATGAGATGACGCTGTAACTCAGACCGCAGTCTATGGTGTCTGCGATAAGATTAGGTGCACCCATCATCCTCAAGGCCTTTTTTAAGGGCTGTCAAAATGGGGAAATTATGGACATTAGTTATGTGCAAAAACAACATAAATCCATGTTGTAAACATTTATTAAAGAAAGCTTAAGTGACAGAGCATTAGCTTACCAAGAGGTAGTACGGAGGCATTGTCTTCAGGTACATCTCAAAGGCCTGTCGCCACTTGAGGTTTGGTTTTAGTTTGTGCACTTTAAACAAATCATCTGAAAGGAGGAAAAGAGGAGTGGGATGTCTGAGAAAAGTTTTAGCATTCTGGATCAGTGACCAGTCAGCCATCCACCTGCAGCCCCTCCTGCTGCTGCAGGGCTGACTGGGGTACACACATCAATATTCAGGTGGTGAGTCTAAAACAAGCATCAAAACAGACACTATATAACACCATTTATCCTTCTTAATACCCCATTATCCCAAAACATCTATTTGTTGCATAACATTATTAAAGATTAACTGTTGCTCTGTTATAAGCCTGTTATTTGTGATTATGTTTGGAACTAAAGATGCTTGGGGGGAGAAAAAGATTGCAGATGATGAAGTGCCCCAGAAAAGGAAAGCTTTTTAAATTCAATATGAGCTCAGACCTACTGACCCAGAAGTTTTCAGGCCACTTTAATGAAATGGTTTACTACCATATGTCTTACCGAGGAGTGGGAGAAGGACTGGGTAGTTGTAAGGCATGACAAAAAGGTTGACACAGGTGAGAGTGGTGCTGGCTTTAAGGTAGCCAAATGGCTGTCCCAGGTCATTTTGCTTCCCACTGCTGCTGACGAACACCTGAAGACAACAAGGACAATTTTCAAGTCAAATAACATTTTGGTTATTGACATTAAAAACTAAACTTCAGAAGACCTCTGTAGATGGGTACATAGTAACTGCCAAAAGGGAAAAATATTTTGAATAAAGTTAGCAACCTCTTTATTTCTGGTTTTCAGAAAAGTCCCAGAGGCAACACCACTGACAGTAGAAACAAGCCAACAGAGCTGATGGGTGTGCGACTATGTGCCCTACCTGCCAGCACATGTGTGGAGACTTCCTTTCCAGAATGTACTGGGTGAGTGGAGAGGGCTCCAGTTCATACTTGTCAAAGGGAAGTTTGTCGATCACCATGGGCTCACAGTCCACACAAGAGAAACGCACCATGGGATGAGCAGAGCGGGGTGGCTGCGAACAGGAGATAGTTGAAGAAATTGTAAGGCAAAAATAATCAGCGGCACAGACCCATGTTATATCTTTGCAACTGCAAACAACAACACATTGAAGATTTTCCAATCAAACTGAAGTCACAGAGTGAGTTCGCAGAGTTGTAAACTTGAGTGTACTGGCTGTAAGTTCCCGACTGAGGAAAACAGGACGGCCAATAAAAGAGAGGAAGACAGAAAGATAAGAGAGGCAAAGTGAAAGTAAAAGAGCAAGTGCGCGTGTAAATATAGGTCTGCTCGGAGATCCACAACAACATAGACACACAGACAATTTGAAAAACAGGAGTTTAACAGTGCTCTGTCAAAGTCTAATTTATGTATTAATCCAGCACTAAAGGAGGCAACCTGCAAAATCATAGACAACAACAGACAGATGTATTTCTAAGAGCATCTTGGCTCACCAGTGTAGGAGAATTCTGGTCCGGCCAGAAGGACTCTGGTATGGGCCAATGCCCAACTGGCACTCCGGTCTTTGGGTTCGGCCGCACATAGATGAGTTTGTGGCAACTGTGCCACGGCTGTGGGCTGAAGGATGACACGGGACGACTTGACTCCACTGAGTTATCTGTAAAACAAAAAAGAGTATATGACATAAGACAGACCATTACTCTGTCAAATACAAACAAATACAATTCATGGGAATTTAAGAGCAACCACTGTTGAACAAAACCTCTATGGATGACATGAGCAGGCTTCTGTTCTCAAATTTACCATTTAAAAGATTTCAATTCTTAAAACTAAATACATACAAGTTGGAATCTTTTGCCATTAAAATGACGTGTAAGTCAAATTATCTCCTTGCTTTTCTTTACATAGTTTTTGTACCAGTGTATTTAGCTGAAAATGCACTCCGTTCTCCTTTCAGTGTAACAATAATCTCTTCTGCTTTCACCTGTTTTACTGCCCACGGTGTCTTTGCTCCAACTAACTGTGCAAAATGTGATGAAATAATGTGTTCAGAGACTCCATAAAATGTATGTCTTTTAGAGTGGGTAAGCCACTTGATTCATGTTTTATGTACTTGACTGTTATAAGTTGTATAAGTTGTTATGACAGGAAAAGACATGTAAAATGTATTGGTTGTTGCCCTTTTTCTACTCAGTATGGATCACCCAAAAACTCACCTTCCCCAATGAGAGGCGGATCTGGCCCTGTCTTCTCAAAATTAATGACAACGCCGCTTTGAACCTTTTGCACCAGAGATTCCAGACACTGGTTCAACATCCTTTGTGTCCGTACACAGTATGATCGCCCTGAGAGTGAAAGGAAGGATGCACAATGACCAAATATAATAAAATTAATTATTGAGTGCTGCCAAAAAGAGAACAGACACACACAATGAATGAATACAGATGTTCAAGCGCCAAAATAAAAGAAAATGCCGAACCTCCAGTAACTTCACACATCTGGGTGATAGCAGACTCATCTGTGGGGACGCTACCGAGCTGCTCGTTGTCGGGTGTGGCTGCTCCTGGCAGCCTCAGCACCAGTGCGAAGAGACGCTGGTCCCAACGAAAGGGCTCTTTGGTCAGTTCACTGCCCGCCAAAGGAGAGTTCAGGGGAAGGTGCAGCTGGACAACAGACAGGGGTGAAGAGAGACACGGATGATAGGAGATGTGATTAACATTTGAAAACTTCCTTAGGTCACTAGTTCCACCATTATACAAACCTTACGCTTTATGTCGTTAAAAAACTGAAAATGATCACATAAATATTTTGTAAATAGCTGAGAGTATCAGTGGTACAGTATGTAGTGGCACTGCTGCATTTTTTATGTTCTCACCTCATCTGGCACCCCAGAGCTGTGTGTGAGCTTGTTCCCATCAGTGATAGTGATGATCACAGATGGCTCGAGGAAGAAGGGGTTACGTCCCTGAGAGGGAAATGATAATATTCAGCAATTAAATCCCAGTTTGAGTAAACTGTGACCCCATTTATTCTCACTAGCCTGCCTTCCTTTCTCTGTGTTTCAGACCAAAACACTCTCCTGGGCTCAAAAACATTCGCTTCTCCTCAAATCACAAAACGTGTCGGGTCTGTGGTGCTCAGAGTAATGGTAAAATATAGGTATACTGTGTAAACAGAAGTCAACGTAAAGACAATAATTAGCATGGTGTTAGCATCACACCTCTGATCAGCCAATGGATGCTTATATGAACTGTGTGGCAACTTGTAATCTTTGCTTGTGTCAGGATGCATCTGTAAGCTGCACAGTGTCCTTGTGCTACACACTAAGGACAGAGGTCTCTACCACTGTGCTGCAGGGGTCAGCCTCGTCTAATTCAAACACACACAGAATGCCTAAGTAGCTTTACACACTCCTGATTCTTGTGTCACCACTCGGGTACAGTAATCCATCTCTCCGTTTGAGCAGAGCTTTGGAGAAAAGAGAGTGCAAGTCGAGATGGAGTGGATTAAGATGCAATCAAAAGTCAATACTCGTATTTTTGTCTCCAGGTAAAGGAATCATCCGGACCTTCATCTATCCAAGGAAAACTCACATATTGTAGGTGTTGGCTGTATCAGAAAAGCCCCATCTCACATTCAGTCTGCCACTGACACTTCAATAGTTTAGTTTTTTACTGCGGATTTAGCTGTAAAGTGCCCTGCTCACAGGCACTTACCTTCCACCACATTAAAGATTAAAATTACTAACTTTTAGTCTTCCTGTCTGTCCTCTAGTTCTACTGCCACATGAATGTGATGACATTAAAAAGTTAAATTTAAGACTTTTTAAAACAAATAAAATGCAATTTAATACCTGATTCAATGTTATACAATTCAAAGTATGAAAGTATGCTGGAAAAGCAGTGAGGACAATTTGACCTAGAATTATTTATTAAATATATATAAATATGTATATTATATTATATCACCTTTTTATCAGTACAGCCCAGCAGTATGTAACAATAACTCCTAATGATATAACACAAAAACAATGCAACATGGACTCCAATAAGCAGCAAAAAATGGACAATCCCAATTTAAGTGTGTGTATAAATGTGTAACGTCTCCCATTAGCCCGCAATCAGATACAAAAACATTTTTATAACTAAAGGGAAATGAAAATATTTAAGACTTTATAATACCTCCCAGGCCTTTTAATGGAAATGAAGTCAGTGCTTTTAAAGGCTTTTCAAACAGCAGACACTCTTGTGTTTTGCAAAATTTTTCACATGGCCATAATCTCCTACTTCTTATAGAAATCCTTTTTAAAATCTGTAACAGGAAGATGGGACAGATCTGCGGTCCACCTGAATGTCAGTTTGAAAGGAAGCTCTCTTAAATGGTGATTGTGATTATCAATTTGAAAATCAACAAACTATAGCACAAAATAAACTCCAACACACATTAAAATAAAAAACATTGCAGATTGTGGAAATTCTACTATTCTCTTATAGTAACAGAGGAAACTTTCTGCCAAAGAAATGCATTAATAGGTTGTTGGTGCCAAATACCTGTCCATAGTTGTCGATGCCTGAGACGAGGCGGTTGAGGTTAAGCAGGTCAAAGGCTGTGCGAAGAGCATGACCTAGTGTAGTCAGCCCAGATGCCTGCAGGTTTTTCAGCTCACACATGAAGGTGGCATGGTTCTCCTTCCAGCCGGCCTGAAATACATACATCAACAGTGGGCTGAGTGTATTGCACAGCAAACAACCCTACAACACAGTAGTAGAGGAGGCCTGAAGCCACAGTGCATGGTAAACAGCCACAAACCGAAATAGATCCAAACCCACAGATACCCATAGTATGTAATTACACAGAAAAACAGAGCGAGTTTTGTTCACTGACAACCATGAACTGATTCATGTCAAGCATGTGACAGCCATCCTGGTAAAATGAGTTTAAATCCACTGATTCTGTGCAACATGACATAATGGTGACCATAAAATGAGATCAGGCTCTGTCAAGTTCTGCAAATAGAAGATAACATTGTGGAAATTCAGACCTACATTTGAGCTAGATGGTGCTGTTTAAAAAAGAGTAATTTCATACATGACAAGCATCCCAAAATACACTTCCCACTGCTGCTCTGTCCTCTGTGACGGGGATATACTCCCACAGGAGAGGATGTGGGTGTGTAACTGTTCTTGGACTTTTCTCCAGCAAGGTCAAGTACCTTACTGCTGCAGCTTCACGCTTAATCTAAGGATGACCTGCAAGCTTACCACTTCCTTTATCGGGAGAGGGAGGGGTGAAAGGCTAAAGACACACAGAGAGAGATGGAGATAAAAGCTTGAAGTGCCAGTATCAACATGTATGCTCTGCATGGGGCCAGTGGGTAGATTTTTGGATTATCATGGGATATCATTCCAAAGCCATGGAATTTCTAGGAAAGTGCAGGGTGTTACATGAATGATGTTAGATAAATATTATGCAGTCATACAAGCAATCTCACTGAGCTGCTGAAGCAAAAATTATAGTGGAAACACACTCACAGGAGTAGTAGCAAAGAAATAAGCCAGACATAGACACTTGTGTAGGCAAGCAGAAATGTAAGGCTTAGCTTGCACTCAATAATTCAGACTACAGAATATTTCTATTTTCTTCCTGCCCAACCTCCTCTCTCTCCCTCTACATCAACAATTTATTGCCTCTGTAACTGTGCAATCAGAGTAGCCCCATTCAGTATAACCTTGTCCTTTCATCATAATCCTGGGTACACAAAGCAGGCAGAGACAACAAAGGGAGAAGGCAGTGAAGACAAAGAGAGGAAGAGCAGGAGGAAGAGAAGTTGAGGACAGACTTCACAATGAGGGGAGAGCACTTCTGATAGCAGCACCTGGATGTTTTTATGTGAGGGGGGACAATTAGATCTTGGGTTATTTGGCTAAGGAGTTATACACGTGATTATTTCACTGGGATGACTGTAGCTATGATCTGGACTTGTGGTGAATACTGCAAGGTCAATGACTTAAGTAGAGAGAAGAATTTCAATTTTCATAAATGACAGCAACCACTCATAACATTTTGCCATGGCCCCAGGCCTAGACTTCTGCATGTAGTAAAACAATTAAAAAAATTACATAATAATGTTTTAAGTGCTGAAGCTGTGAACTGAAAATGGTCTTTTTCCCTTTCTAATATGGGGTTCATTGAAGAGCCAGATATAGCCTGTGCTATTTTGATTCTTGCACAGCTTTTAACATTAAAACTGTGCAAGACTGTACATCAAAAAATACCTCACTATTCATCTGTGTTGTAGCTAAAACGTGATGGTTTGTAGAATAGAGTATAGAAAGTACACTAAATTTATTGCAATAAAAGCATAATGATAATTTCTTTTCTTTTCTTTAAAATTCAGTTTCAGAAAACAAAAATAGTTAGCTTATCAATCAAATTTTGGAGGTTCAGTATTTAAAAAAAGCATTTTATTTTATATTAATTTACCTCATATAGATCAAAGTAATGAATGAATGAAGTCCTAGAAGTGACAAACATTGATAATAGATCAGTTAAAAGTGTAACTACATAAGTCATAGTGAACTAAATATTTTAAAAGACGGTACAAAACAAAAATTAGTTTGTTTTATTATCTCTAATTATTATTAAAAACACCCAGAAATTCATATTTTACTAGCTGTACTTTTCAACTCACGTCTATATTCTCACTTCTAGCACATGTTTAATTATTTAAACACTTCCCATTTGCTTTGTTGCTTGTATGATAATTAGAAGTGCACCCCTAATGCATGGGCATATAAATGAAGGGTGTAAAATATTACAGTATATTATTATATAGGTCTGTCATCAATTATTGTGAGACAGACTAATATTGTCACTCCTGGGCTGAAGCTATCTAAAAAGCTGCAGCCGTTCAATGTGTGCAGCAAAGTACAATGAATTTAACTTTCAAGAGTATTATAAAAACAACAACTATGGGATTACTAGTAATTACAGGTGCTTTTTAGCTTACACTATATTTTGCAACATATGCCTCTGCATGTATCTTCTGATGCTCACACTAGCATCTTTAAGAGGGGTAATTAATTACTTTCCAGCTCTGGCATTTTGTAATTTGGTCATAAGGCATGCAAACAAAAAAGACATGTACAAGGAAAGCTAACTATTATGTCCTCAAGCATTAATGACATGGGATAAAGTAAGTGCTTAGCATATTGTGTTGAGAGTAGTAGAGTATTGTTTGTAGACAGAGTTAGGCAAGCCAAGAGATTTCTTATACGGACCAGTCACTTATGCAGATCAGGGACTTCAGGTGTTGTGAGCACTTGTATGCCTGTATGCATGTATTTTATTAGGCTAGAGAAGCTCATAGGGAGAGATGTGTGCCAGGTCATAAACAAGTCAACAGATTAGTGGTGAGGATAGCTTTGCTGACATGAAACCCCTGAAATTATTGCAGTGATTCACAGGTTGTATGTGTTTTTTGCCAGGGTGTGTCGATTAAAACTAGACAGTGTTTGTATGTTGGGCCATGATGCTTATAGTATCGGCATAACAAATAATAATCATGTGAATAATGATCATTTTCTTCTAGCGAACTCATAAAAATTAAAAAAAATCTCATGATGAAGAGGGCTTATCAACTTTCAGCCTAGATTGGCCAATGGTAATGCATGGATGATGCAAGGGGTGGGGTAGAAGATGATTGGCGGGCTCTTTGACCAATCTAAACATTGCATGGTCAAAAAAGAGTGACGTCATAGGCGATAATAAATCTCTCCGCCTCCATCTCAACGCCCGAGACTTTTCTCAACACAAAAGCAAAATGTCCGCTGGATGTTCGGAGGTAGTGCATCTCCGGGTCTGCGGGTATTCGGAGCAAAAAATTGCCGTTTTTCGCCACCGGGAAGCCGCCCAACACTGACTACAAACCAGAAGGACAATAAAGTCTCACTGACAGAAAAATACGTTCGACTTGTCAAATGTAAAAATTGTATCAGTTGCTAATTACCTTCACTCCGTATGGTGGATCATCGAATGTAACTAGCATGTACCTGTCGCCTCTACTAGCCGGGTCTCGGGCACGCAGCTGTCAAAAAAAGAAAACCAAAACAACATATATTAATTTCGACCGATCTTGTCCAAGGAACCCTAAGGTCACCAAAGGTGCATACTTGCTGATAAAAGTCGGGGTAAAATAATTCTTTACCTTCATAAAGACCTCAACCGCGCCTTTAGCAACGTCCAGATACGTCGTACCCAAATAAGTGCGCTGATTCATAGAGGCGGACGTGTCTAACAGGAAAAGTAAAATAGGCATTTTAAATGTAAAGCCGCGTTTGAATGCTTTTCTAAAATAACTGTTATCCACATATGACCTATCGTGCGGCCAAACAGTTCACACATGTGTGTATATATTTGTTATAATAAGCCCCCCCTCCAGAAGAGGGCCGTTGCCTCTGCCCTCTCTCTATCTGCCTTTCTAGAGCTCTGTCTCGGCTCGCGCTGTTCAACTTCTGCTCCTAACCGAATGGAACGCCCCGCTGCCTCAACTGCGACACCATTGGCTGAGCCGGATTCCAGTGACCACGCCCCCCTCCAATATATAAATATATAACGAGGTCGAGATGGCTCGTGTATACAGCACATCCGCCTACCCCTTACATTTGTATGTATACCTAGCGGGTGGTGTGTGTGTGATCCTTACCATAAAATAGCCTACGTACCTAGCTTGAAATGAAACAACTGATTTGTAGCAATATAGATCATATAAATTGGACCTGAATATTCTTAATACTCAAATTCTAAGTCAATGAATCAAGTGCTATGCTTTGGGTATATGCATTTTGCGCTGCAGTGGCAGAATTATGAGAAAATGCACATTTAGTTTAGACAGAAAAAACTGACAAGAAATAGAAATATAAGTATTCAAGCAGACCTCCAAAAATATACTGTAACTATAACAATGGAAAAGTCACTTTCACCATATGCCTCTAAAATCATTAAAAGAAAAAGTAGGCTACCGCCTGTTCTGCATGTGCTCTCCTATCCGACATCACTTGAATGCAGCATCGCTGTTTCATGAAAGGATATTCTTGATGTGTCCTTTTAACACTTAATCAAACACCTTGCCATGTAATCATACATCATATCATATCACATCATATTTATCATAAGTTCAGACTTTATCAAAAGAGACAAAAAACATACCTCATAGATTTAAAGGTCAGTGGAAAGTCATGGTGGCCAAACCAAGACATGTCTACCTGTGGAAGATGAAGGCCTGATTATTCTTGGTCAGTTTTGTCTGCACACACATACAGTTTATATTGACAGTATATTGTAGTGTATAACAAAACTCTTTGCAATCACACGTGTTTTAACATTTGCTGTAGGTCGGGCGAACAGTAAATCAAGTGTCCAACCTTAATCTGGCTGTGAATGTATATAGATTTGATCATCGAGGTGAAACATTTGAAAAATCAACGCACTTGATTCCATAGTTAATCGTATGAAGTAGCAACATTTAAGCACCATATCTAGATATTTAATGTGATTAACATAATTAACAGGACTCAAAGTACTCTGCAAATATAAATGAAACAGTGCACTTTAGAGGGGTATACGTTTTTATTCAAATCTTTTTTCTTTTTTTTCTTTTTTTCTTTTTTTTTTTTTTTACAAGTTATTAGAAACACATTATTCCTTGCTTGGAACATCTTTACGTCCGCTCTGTTGACGTCTTGCACGTACTCGTTTACCCTCCGCCATCCCATCATGCACCGCGAGGTCTGCAGTATATTATTGACAAAGAAAAAAGGCTGGGAGAAACAACAACAGGGTGGGATCACAAGCACAAATCCTGGTTTTAACACTGACGTTACACGAACCCAAGTGCTGACAACAAGGTAAAGTCCCACTCTCAGTTTTTTCTTGAAATAAAACAACTCTCCGCTCTCTTTTCTGTAATGACACTGCGCGTAGACAACGTTAAGTGGCTATCAGCTACCATCTGGGGTTTTCCTAGCCAGCTAACGCTAGCCAACGTCTCCAGTATTTTACAGCGTTAGCATTTCACTATAGCGGTGTGTTATTACAGTGACAGAGCTAGCAAATGTGATGAAATATGAAGGTCGGCTAGAAATGAATAGTGGGCTTGATATTATTTCTCTAAATCTGTTATTATATTTATGATCAAAACATTTGCAGAAAGACCCAATTTCTTGCCTCTGTTTACGTTGTCACCTACGATTACACTGCAGTTTAAAGGCAGCTATCGTTTCTGCTTTACAGACTACCTAAATACGAATAGAAAGTTGGCTGGATAACTTTACCACGAAAGAAGATGCCCCAGAGACTGTAAAGCGACGTCTCTAAAACTTTGTTATTAATAAAATGAATCTTTCGTGATTTTACGTGTACGTGGAGAACAATAGGATACCACGAACCTGGTTTCCGCGAGTCCTAACGTAACCATGTAAACACTCAGAAACACGTGACCAGGCACATGGCGTTCTACTTGCTCTGTTGAAACTGACTTATTTAAACTTGACTAAGTTTCACGAATTAATTTGCTTTGGCATTTTCTCTCTGCCCTGTTTAATGTGTAACTCTAACAATTATTTTATTAATGTCCCTTGGAAGGAAAAAAAACATCCAGACCCTTATAGCCCATTAAAATAGCTACATCCCGTTAAAGTTTTGCATTCAAAGTTAAATGAGTATATGTTACCATTAGCAGTTTAGTGTACTGCTCTAAAAATACTAAGTTTTAGAGTCACTGTATTGATGAATTTGAAGTAGTTTAATATACAAGGTGTAACTGCTTCAACTACTTCTGAATAGTTTAAACCAGAGCTAGACCAATCTATCCATGTATTACAAATGCAGATATGTGAGTTATCAGTATATGTGCAGGGCAATAATTTATAAGAAGTTGAATTACTGAAATGCCAAAGATATGTTTGAACAGGATTAGAAATGGTGCTGGCAGTGCATAGTTTAGCATTATAATACAATTTATTGTTTTTAGATTTTTTAAAAACATCAAATATCGGTATTGGTATTTGCCTCAAACATCCAGTAACATTTTGGCTATAGTTCAAATGTTGGAAGTGCATCATATAAGTTTCATTGTATTTGCCACATGCAAAATATTAAGGTGCAAAACAACAGCTGTTTGATAAATAAATGAAATAACAAATGCAATTTTTCCCTATAAAATGCAGTGGAATAAAAACAGTGTGTCACAAAATTTAAATAAGTGGTATAACAGTGCCTCTTGAATAAATGTACTCTATTATTCATTATTTGTGTCTTTTCACAGTATCATGTCATGGCCCTAAGAAGCTGAGAGCGGGAAGTGCCATTTCCACCAAAAGGGAGTTTACACAGCTTGATACTTGGTAGAGAAGGGTGGGGGGCCCAGGCAGACTGTGGACGGGGAAGGGGAAGAGCTCAGCTGGAGCCAATGCAGCAGCAGCATCGACAGCCTGAGCTGGTGGAAGGAAGCCTTCCCGTGTTTGTGTTCCCCACTGAGCTTGTCTTCTACGCAGATGAGCAGACGTCTCACAAGCAGGTGCTCACCCTCTACAATCCCTATGAGTTCGCCCTCAAGTTTAAAGGTCAGTGGGCAGAAGAAAACACAACTTATCGTGTGCTTCCATTTGGCTGTATAATTATAGATTATTCCAGACGAGATGAGTAATTTGTTTATTTTTCTTCTCGTCAGTGCTCTGCACAGCGCCAAACAAATACACTGTGGTGGATGCCACTGGAGCCGTCAAGCCACAATGTTGTGTTGACATGTGAGTTTGTTTTTTTGTGTAGGAGTATTATTTTTTTTATGCAGTGGTATAACATCAAAAGGATAAAATGTCTCATCTATGAGACTTTTCTTTCTTTTCTTGGTCAATTCCCAGCAAAGAGACTGTCTAACTTTCTGTGTCCACACAGAGTAATCAGACACAGAGATGTGCGGGCATGCCATTATGGGGTGTACGACAAGTTCCGACTGCAGGTGTCGGAGCAGAGTCAGCGGAAAGCTCTGGGTCGCAAGGAGGTGACGGCAACGCTCCGTCCCTCTGCCTCACAAGAGCCGCCCAGCCCCCGACCCCAAGATGAGGAACGCAGAATCAAAGAGCAGTTTGCAGACAGCGAGTTTTTTGAACAGACTGCATTTCAGTCAGGTAGGAAAAAGGACTGTTGTGTGGTGTTGCCACTAGATGGAGCCAAATGCTTATAAAAGTCAAATATGGGAACTTATAATTTACAGGAAAACATTGCATTGTTTTATTTTGCCAATGAGCATAAATATCTATCTACCAAATCTATCTAAGATAAAAAGAACATGCACTTTACAAACATAATATGATAGTATGAAACATAGCATATAATAAAGTCATAATGCACAGGTTGTAATTATATCCTGATCCACTTTTTATCTTGTGGCAAGATAAGTAGGTGTATATTATGTGACCTTTTTCATTGATATCAGGTTTACCTGTGTGTTATTCACATTGTTGCATACATGGCTACATCTTGTTGTATAAAACAAATCAAAATGAAAGCACTTTAAGCAGTAGGAAAACAATTGTGCAGGTAATCACTGTCAGGGTGTCATTAATAGTTGAGTACAAGCTAAATGCTTACAACATCTTCTTTCTGTGTGTATGCTGGAACTGCAATTACCAATACACCAATGCTAAAGTGGTGAAGGACCATCACAGTTCAGTTGTATCACCTGCATAGTGATATTTGCTATTCTGAATACGTAGTCACGATTTCAAGTTTCAGAGTCATAAACCCCGTTTGACTTTTCTTTGCCATAACATTTGTTTAAGGATACTAGTCTGCTGATTTGTCTGTATATATCTTGTGTTGTCAAAATATTCCGTGAAAAAAGCAGAGTCCTTTTTTTCTTTTAAATTTTCAGTTGCTCATGTGACGCATGTTGTAATGTGGGGAAGTATTGGAATACACACTAACGCATGACGGAATGCATGAATATTTTGCTCATGGGTTTCAAACACTCTGTAATAAAACATCTAAAAGCAAAAAATCTTATCAATTGGGGGTCTGTAGTCTAATTTGTGTCACTTTAGGGGTCCTTGATGTGAGAAAGTTTGAGAACCACTGCTTTAAATCATTTGTGAAGTATTTTGAGTAATCAATCTAATTGCAGTGTATGCTTGTGTATGTGCCTGACAGAGAGCCGTCCTGTTGCTGGAGGACCCAGTCTGCTGACTGTGCTGCTTGGGCTGGTGTGTATGGCCGCCCTGATGCTCCCAACATTGGGGGAGCAAGAATCTACTGTGCCTGTCTACCTCCACTTAAGTGTTAACAAGAAACTTGTAGCTGCTTATGTTCTTGGTAAGTAAGATAACTTGCATTTTAATCTGATCCACACTGCTATTGTTTATGAAAATCACACGGTTAAATGAGTGCGTGCTGGAGTTTACAATATACTGTGCCTGTGTGTTGTTTCTTGTAATATTTTAGGTCTACTTACAATGGTCATCCTACGCACATGAAGTGCTGTGAGCTGAGAGGAGGAGGGAAAATGATCTAAAAGACTGAGAGAACATTCTCACACCAGAAGCACTTCTATGCTTCAATGTGTAGAGCTGACAGCAGGGGGACAGGGTACTTATTCACTTCGCCCTGTCCCTTGAAAATACATTTTAGCATACTTATTTTCAAATCTACATATTTGTGTTAATACATACATTTACACAATACTGAACTGATGCAAGCAGCGGAGACCTCTGGTGTTTAGGTCAAAGGAAAGGAGGTGTGAGAGGAGCTGTCCCTGAACACGGCCTGTGAAGAAACATGAGGCCATTCAAAGTGTTGTTTGGCCTCATATTCCCTGTGTCTGTATTTCTATTGCCATTACGTAACAGAAAGTGGTTAACTTGAGTGTGAAGGAATCTACATGCAAACATGATACATGTATATAAAGCCATTAAAATTTTGTTATGGTATTCACCTGTAACCATCATTATATTGATGTTTTAAAGCATTTTTAGTGTAGACTCTGAGGACTAAATGCAGTTATTTGCATGTGTGGGTACCTATCTGAATGAGTTTTTATGTTTTGCAGCAGTGAGATACTTTTACATGTCACCAAAGGAAAGCTCGTCTTTTGAAGACAATGGTTTGTTTGCCGTACTATATCAATGCTCCATCAAACATTTAATAAAGTCTCCATACATCAGTCTGGTATGTTTATAGATCAAATCAGGGTTTTTAAATCACATTTTACAAGTTTGGTCAGGAGGGTGTAGAGCACACAATGTGACAATAAGGCTTTTGTTAGCTTTGTAATGTTGGGTACTGAAAACAATCCAGCTACATGCTTTGGGCGCTGGGTGTTATCAGGTTTGACAACTGAAAACAACACGATTTGCCATTGCTCATCTACCACTTGGTTTCAGAGCAGTAAATAAGGCTTAAGGATGATACTGTCTTACTGTGGATATGGGTGCATGGTTCACATTTTAAATTAGGGCTTGATTTAGTGCTCTGGTAAAAGAAAAAAAACATAATCCTGAAATATTTAAAACAGCTACACAAACATAATAAAGAAATAATTTATTTAGTCCTGATGTCCGCTACGATGGCTATCACAAATAACACAAGCGTAGGCAAGGTGTTAGCCAGCTTGGCAGATTACAGACATACAGTATAGCATCATCTGCTAAATTCATGCCCTGAATGCTTCAGAAGATGACCAAGAAAAACAAATCATCTTGGAAGTAATACCTTGTTGGCAGCAGGGCAAGCCAACTGCTTTTTCCATTTTCTTATTTGTATAAAAGAAAAAAAAAACATTCAGTAAATGAACTGCAGCCAAAATGTTCCTTAAATTAAAGGGCACGTCTCCATAAAATGATTTACAATCACTTCCTTTTGTACATACACATGAAAGGCTACAGAGCCATGAAGGGGGTTTAGACGCAAGTTACATAGGAGATATGGACAATGGAGCCCCGACAGTGGAAAGAACAGCCAGCCTCAATATACTGTATTTGTTGGATTCATTAAGAGAAAGCAGATGTAAGTGTTACGTCCTTCCTTCATTACACACAGGCTGAAACACAACAGGATTGAGTATCCTGTGCAAAAAAGCTTTTAATAAATGTAACCACAGCAGAAACAGCAGTCTCTTCACTCACAATATGATGGTGTCATTTTGTTTTTACCACACATTCCAGCAGTCAGTTGATTTGGTGTAAATGACAACACAAATGGGTCACTTTTACTGGGGACAGAAACCTATCACCATCCAATTTTTATAATAAACTTTTTTTTTTTTTTCCATAAATAAGAACATTTTGCCAGAAAAGAAAAAAAAAAATCATTTCTATATTTTGCTTATCTACAAAACACATCCTGACAAGAACACAGGATACAGAAAAACCGTTAGTGTTGAAAGACCACCAGCGATGACCATCTTATTTCGTCCACAATTCACTGCTAGGTGCATTAATTGCTCATAGTAGGCAATTAAAGATGCAGCAAGTTATGGGGAGGGGCACGTACAAGCCAAACTGAAAAATATCACCACAGTTCACAGCCTCTCTCATAAAAATATTCAGAATATCTGCTGAAAACTTAACTTCTCTTACAGAATAACAGTAAGGAAACATAGTTGTACCCCAAAAGTAGTTACGTTCCTTTAAACAAAGAAAAGTTTAGCTGTTGAAGACCTGTGCCCACATTCACCTCACAGCCAAACTTAAACTATACTACATTTGACAAGGTTAATATGTACATAATTACAAACAAAGCAGGGAAACAATAAGTTAAATCTTTTCTTACAAAATCTGCAGACTGTGTACATACAAAGGCATGTGGACAGAAGTTTTCCAGCACAAAAAACAGGGAAAATGTACACATCCAAATAGTCTTTTTTTTTTTTTTTCATCCAGTGCTCATTGTCTCTCTCCAGTGAAGGGAACTGGTAGGACAGATTTGCAGGATAGCCACTTAAACACAATATCACTATGAAGCCAAGCACCATCCAAGATCCTCTACTAGCAGCTGGTGCTCACAGTGTCTTCAGTCATTCCCAGTTTCACTAGGTTTACCTCTTTAATATAAAACCTCCTCCATGGCTTTCATTTCCTTAATTCAAACATATCTAGACCCTCCGACGTATAGCCATGAAAACAGCTGTTCAGAAGCAAACATGGACAATTAAACTAAAACCAGGCGATGGTGAAGTGGAGGGTCTGAGAAGGAAACCGGTTCCCTGGAGAGACAGGCTTTTTTTGTGCCAGTCCTTTTTATTGTCTCTTGCCATGCCATTCTCATTTTGGAGACAAGTCCTGGAGGGAAGCGAAGGGCGAGTTGCTGGACGAAGAGGGTGACACTCCCTCCATTTTGCCTGGAGAGTCTGTGGAGGAGCTGACGCTGCTGAGGCTGCCATCCAGTAAATCTGGAGAGTGACTGAAACAAAATAAGTGCAGTTCAGCACATCTGCAGGATGTCATACTCTCTTCTGTTGTATTAGTGTCTACATCTTCAGTCTGGGGGAGAGAGCTTACCAAAATCTCACATTTGGTTTGTTTACTGTGACACTTTCTCCCTGACTTCTTTACTCAAAGTCTCCAGCGGGGGTCATTACATTTAAATCCACACTTTTACATACACATGAAATCAGAGCCAACTTGGTCCAATCAGTAGATGCATTCATGTTTCACCTTAAAAGAACATGCCTGTGTAGGCCGTCACAAATGCCCGTTACTGATATTCACTACTGAGTGAAAAATACAAAGTGGAACATTTTTAACTGTAAAAAGTATATAATTCTGAAAGGGCAGATCTGTAATTATAAGAAGAAATACAGAATGTAGCTACAGTGCATCTAATGCACGGTGAAGAGCACAATCTTCAATCTCCAATTATAGTTAAAAAGATGAAGATTGTACTTTTTGTAACAGTTGAAGACAGACTACTCATTAGTTTCAAAGTAATTCCCTTTACTTCATTCTCCTAAACCTGAGTAAGTTGACCGAATGACAGGAGTGTCATCATCTAAACAGTGCGATTTTGACCAATGGATCTAACAGTCTTACCAGGAACTGAGATCTGACAGATTGGAGACATCAGAGGAAAGCATGGTGGTGGTGCCCTGGAAGAGCCTCTTGGGTTGGCTCTCTGTCTCCATCTCACCTGCAAAATAAAAAGAGCCTGACATTTAGAAAGCTTTCTTAACACAGTGTGTGGCTAATCTGAAAGGGACAGCTGCTGAGTGTTTTATTGTGATCATAATCTGATACAGTATGAACTGCAGATCTTATCAGTTAACTAGCAGAGAGCCGATGCAGTCTCTCATATTTAAATTTAATAACACATTGAATGTGGTCAAATCCAAAAGACAATCAAGTAAACTATTAGTGGAGTAGAAGTACAAGGAAAAGCACCTAATTAGAATATAACATCCTAATCATTTTTGTAATAATTCTTCAACCATTAGAGGCTTATGTAGTTTTAAGGATTCAAGAGGATCCATAAAAAAGAACTTTGTCAAGCCAAATGAGGTTAATGAGCAACATGAATATCACAAATACATAGATTTTAAAATGTCTTTCAAATCGGCTTCAACACTATAGTTACTCTGTGTAAAGGGAAAACCCCATTTACATCATACAGTCAATAGTCCATTATTGCCTTCAGCAACCTTTAGTCTGAACAAGATGCATTCAATTTACGACATGTCACTTTTATCCATAAATTAAGAGACTCTTGGTAGAATATCATCACATATGAGGGTAATTATTCTCAGAGCATTTAAGATTTAAGGCATGCTGTGCATCTCACCTTTCCGTTTTATTGGCCCAAGTATGCTGGCTCTGATGCAGTTGATTGGGCTTTGACTCCGCCGGCTGAAAAACAGAAAACTCATGTTGTCAAACCAGTATATTTTGAAATGCAGCGACTATCAGTAGCCTTCAGCTACAGTTTGCACCTGTACAAAATCTGTCACCTGCAAATTTTTCATACAGATAACATTGTTATAGTTAAATCAGACATACCTAAAAAAAAAAAAAAAAAAAAAAAGGGTTAAGGCAAATTGCTGTAAAAAGCACAGAAACTGTATTTTTTTCTACCAAGACTGGCACAGTGAACCCCATTTTATGACAGTACAGGGAAATTACAGTCATATTGGAGCCAGCTGGTTCTAGAGTGGGCTCACAGCAAAACAGATGTTTGTAGAACAACAGTAAAGTAACTCTTGTATAAGTTGTTAACTCCATGAAAATTTGGTCCTCACCTGAAGCGTCTTGTTGGACTGGGTATTGGGCTGGGCGTTAGGCCATTGCTGCTCACAAGGATTTGTAGTGAAGGAGAGAAACACTGCTGCTTACAAGAAAGGTAAACAAAAAGACAAAATCATCAGCATTAAGACATCAAAATGTGCATGGGTGCATATTGTTGATTTCATTGGTACAGGATAAATGCAATACTCTGATTATTGTTCCTGTTATTATTTTTAATAACTTATCTTTATCTAAGTAAGGCCAAAATGGTGTAGACAAATCCCAGTTAACAAACAGGTTATTTTTCAATCTTTTCAAGTACTGTGACATGTATAAACCATTTTTCCCCAAATATGCAGTTAATTGGGAATGAATCAGATGCCAAGATGTATTTCTACACACAAACACTGATGTAGCTTGCAATACAAAAAGAAAGAGGCTGTGGCAAACTGAAAGAAACAAATTTACATAAATAAAACTCAACAGGAACAAAGTTTTGAATTGTTAATAAATTGCTTCCTGAGGGCTACTACACAGACTTCCATTCATTCACCTGACTGCACATTATTCAGAAAATCAGATTACCACAAACCATGAAAATGCTTTATTACATTCATTTGGTTATTCACAGCATTATCAGGTTATAGTGTGCATGTAAACATACTGATGTCAAATGTACCTTTTTTCCTATTCCTCTGGTTGGGGACGGGGCAGGCGACACAGGTACAAAGTCGATGCGCTTGGGAGACGAAGATGCCGACTTCTCCAAATCATTGTCACTCTTAAGAACACAATATTACCACATACATTAAGCATATCTTGACAATCTATGGTAATATATATAGTGAGGTAGTGCAATCATTAACAGCAAGAGTGTTGGAGTATTATACTACCAACTCAGTCTGACCTTGAGAGACTGGTGGCCCTGTTAACTCCGAAATGCTTGAAGTATTAATCTAGCATGTTTGTACTTGTCCACTCTACAGAAAGAGAGAGGCCAACAAAGGCCAAGGGCCAAAACATGCAGTAGGAAAGTACAACAGTTGTCTTTCAAGGATCCAGAGCAACAGAACATATCAACAACACTGATGGGGGCTTGGACAAGCTGTAATAAAGAGTGGTTTTTACCAGGCTAAGGCTTTCTTCCCAGGACTGGCTCATCTGCATGGCAGCTTGAACTTCCCTGTGTGTATGAAAATAGCAAAACAAGGAATCGTTTAAAGTTATTAGCATTTTATCGACAAGGTAATAAGGAGATCTATTCTCTTCTATCCCTTTTCCACCAACTGCACTAATACATATCTTACCGTTCATGAGCAGTTTCTCTGTTCATCACGTCTACACCCTCCTCCTGCGAGAGCACACAAAGAGGGTTGATGGTTATGAAGTCTTAGTTTACCAAGTCATCTTATCATTTCTGAATGGTATATTCTCTTCAAACAGATTTAAAATGTACTAACTAGACACTGTTCTCACTCTTGTCACTGCAGAGCAGCAAAACTAATACTTAAAGCTAAAACTGAACCATTTTCCACTTCACTTATGGAAATGACATCAGGCCAGTGGATGCCACTGTAATAACCAATTCTTCTGTTGGAGTCTGATACTACCAGTTGATCAACTCTGTAAGATCGACGGCCCTGTGAACTCCAAAAACTGTTACTATAGCATGTATTTTTAAACACCATCACTCCCTATGGCTTGAGAGGGAGACAGTGGTCTGACATGCTCAATTTCAAAATTAAACATTTAATATTTCAAATACAGCAGTGCCTTTTCTTACTTGTTTTATCTGATGAAGTCTGGTGCTGGGGACACGAATAGGCGATGAAGGGACCTGTAAAGAAGGATGCGAGTCCAGAGAACATTCAACACTGAATAATTTAGACACTCATTACTTGAGTAAACGTGTTTAATTAAGTATTGTACCATGTTGGGCCTGTTGACAACTGTAGTGCTATTTCTCCGGCTACGCAGGACCTCTCTCTGGAACACTTGGGAGTTATCACTGCAATGACAAATTCACAGACCAATCATGTAATGTGTTTTATACCCTAGGACAGGGTAATGAATTTACTTCAGTATGAATGGAAAAAGGACGCCAATATCTTCAATTAAAGATGTTGCAGTAAATTATTGTAACTATATAGTAATGTAGAACCTTAAGCCATTAATCATGGGTGCACTGTTGGATCTCCTCAAGTGTCCATCGGTCTGAACTAACGAAGATGGGATTTCCAGATCCAGTTCCATCTTTTCCTGTGGCATGACTCCTGAGTTGTTCATTTTGCTAGCTAACGCTGCTTGTCACCAAGTCATGAACTCAAAATGGTTAACCAGCTCAATGATGTTACATTGTTGCTTTCCAAACTTCGCCAACTTTACATGTTTTGGAGACACATAATCAAACAAGCAACTGAGCTGACGTGAGACAAACCAGCTAACGCGATGTAGATAACGAACAGCAACCTGCAAGGCCCTATCGTCTGTATCACTCTGGCGCTAAAGCAGCTTAGCACTGGCTATTAATCGCAACAACTTTATCTCTACAATTCTTCATATCATGGCTATATGTTCAGCCAGAAGCGGCCTGTACTAACGTTGCATGTAACGTTATGACCAATCACCAACTTTCCTGATGGATGGTTAGCATGCCATGGCTACATACCGCACAATGCCCGGTAACTGTTAGTCTGCTGGTGTAAGGCAGCAGTGGTTGTTGACTCAAACACTACTCAACTACTACTGCATGTTAGCGCCTTAAATTAGCTAACGTTAGCCAAACTAGTCAGCTAGTTAGTTTGAGAACAAAATGAATGTTCGCCTCAAGTGTAACGTAGGTGACGTTAATCTAGCGACGCTGCTGTAATGTGATTATCATAACGCGAGTTTACCTTCTAGCTAACACAGCGTACCTAGCTAATGTAAGCTAGAGATACGTTATGCTTATCGCTAGCTAGTCGATCCAGCTACAGCCCAAAGCCCAGCTACCTAGCCTGATAAGCTAACTAGCTAAGTTAGCATTAACGCCAATGGCCACAATGCCATGTCCAGAGTGAGAGTCCGGGTCACCATTTCACTAAATGTTCCTGTCCATCAGCCAGAAAGCTACCACGGCTGAAACAAAAAACTAAACCGTGTCTGTTGTAAATCTTATACGCTCTATAGTCTCGTATTTTTCGTTTCTGCAGGGCGCCGCCAAGAATGAACAGGGTCCCAGATGATCACACAGAAGCTAGCTGCTAGCAGCAAACTTCACGCCCCTTTTAACGTTAGCAGACCTATCCAATCAAACTGCTTCATTTGCCGGCGTGCTCAGGCGAACTGCATCCTTTGATTCGTAGATAAACTCATCACATTCACGGTACCTGTAATGTTATGGCGGTAAAATGTCTCATCACACTTGTAGCAAGTTTTGCTGCAAAAAATTATTATTATTTTTTTACCTGGTTCTTAGACATCTTTGCCCACAGGAAACGCTGTGCAGACAACTCTCGAGAGGATTGTTCTGGAAGATTTTCAGTTCATGAGTTATTTAGAGCAGCCAGGCCCTCCACTGTTCCTGTTGTCATACTGACTACTATTAACGCCATGGTCTTCAATGTGTAATTTTTAAAGTATTGTTTTAATATTAGGCAGAGTAAAACAATCAAATGTAAGCTTTTATCAAGCTTTGACCTGCAAATCTTTGGTATTTTAATGAAATATTTAAATTTATAAAAATGACACATTAATAACTCATTACCTTTAAATAAAAAATTGCAAATTGCGATTTGAAAATTATCCAGACTCTGTCAAATAATTTAGAAATGCAGCGAAAAATTAAAAATGTGCTCATATAAGTGGACACATGAAAAGCCCAGTGTGAGGAAAAATAAACTTTGCAATCACCATTTGTTCAGAAAGAAAAATGGCCTTCAGCAGGTATTCCATTCAGTCAACGGTGTATTTTGTCTTGACTCTCACTTGATGGTGATACAGTAGACAACATGTATTTTGTTTGTCCCTAATGGTTGACCTACTGAACAGATGGGAAGCTCAAGGTCAGATAACAAACAGCAGCAGCTTCACGATCACAGACAACCACACTAGTTCAGCTGGGAGCTCTGTTAGCGCCTTCACATGATGCAAGGACACATATTAAAAAGCACTAAATACTTTTTTTTTTTTGCATTTCCCAGTTTTTACCATTGACTGCCCAGAAATTATTTCTCCATTTCAAATAGTTTGTTTTAAATCATATAAAAAGTTTTGTAGTAAAATCCACTAGTCAAAGGAAGAGGTGTGAACATTTAATGGCTGGTATTGCAAAATTCAGTTTACACTGGCTTACAGTGATGGCACCATTGAATGAGAGTGTACAACATAGTTGAAATTAAAAAAAAGGTGGTTATGTCTGATTCAGTGACAGGTAGATACAGATTAAGTTTTTCAAACTTCAGTCAAGCTATAGATTGAACATTTCCCCATCCTTAAACTCTACATATTTCCTGACATAAAAAAGGGATTGATGTCTTTTATGTTAAATTAAATGTTTTGGTCAAACAAAGATTTCATTAACACTCATAAATAAGATGATCTTTCATCTTCAGCATACCAATGTGTTAATTAGGGACAGCAGCCAACATGTGTGTTACTTTACACCAAATGTTAAGAAAATGTTCTCACACAACAAAGCAACATAGAAAAGTGTTTTGTCCCAAAATATACAAAGAAAATGTAAAATCATCTTCAAGAGTGCCTATATTGATAGTTCCAGGTAAAGGTACAATTACAATAAAAGAAATACATTACAAAATAGGAGGTTGTCAATTGTTGGAAATCTTATGATAGCACAACAATTATGATTTTTCTACCTAAAGTTAGCAGCAGTGCTTTGAATAAATACACCATCACTTAAAAAAATAATTAATGTGTGTGTGGGCAAAGATGCATTATTCTAATTTCAGGCAAAACTGGGCTCCATGCTGTTCAGACCAGATGTGGTTCTATCTAAGGCAATCAATTTCATCTATAGTTGAATATTGTGTGTGTGTGTGTGTGTGTGTGTGTGTGTGTGTGTGTGTGTGTGGTGGCTAAAACAGGAAATGCAACTGTCAGGATTATCACCATAATCAGTGTATCCATATCCTCAGGGACCCTGAGCAGGCAGAGTATTTTTTTATGACACAAACATGAAGTAATAAAATATAAAATGATCCGCAAAAGGAAAAGGTATAACCATACATTAAAAATTCTTATGAAGTTCTTCATGCCTTGTACTTCTCCTTCCCTGTTTCACTAATGACGCAGATATGCTGAAACAGAAAATGATCCATGAGTATTGCTGCATACTGTTGATTTACATTTGTTTAGATGGTCTTAGCCTGGTTAGATCTAACATGAACACACAGATACAAACTGTACAAATTCTAATAACCATGGATTTATAAGCTTCTTTACTCCTTTTGCTTCTTTATCCATCACAAATACTTACATTTAGATCTCTGAAGTACTCGTTGTAGTCTAGCGCGTATCCCACCACAAATTTGTCGGGGACCTCAAATCCCACAACTGCAAAGAAAATAGGTAAATTATTCACTATTGTATAATCTTTGTGGTGGTAAACTAATGACACTGAAATGAGCAAAAGCCTCATTCAAAAGCACCAATATACAGTGTAACACATAGTATTTTCCACTAACTATAAAATTGAACAAAAACACATTTATTGACTTAAACTTACAGTCTGGTCGGTAGCCCACACTTCTTGGTGTTCTTTTCACCAACAAACTGAGGACAGAAACCAGGTTGATTATTTATCTTTATACTTTATGGCTGCATGAAATGAGGCAGCTGAGAGAGATAACCACCAGATTGTGGTTATGAAGTATTCAGAAAAACATGATCACATGATTCCTCTTGTTTCACAAAATACAGTAGTCTGTATTTGACAGGAAGTTGTTAAGAGATTTAATTACCTTGCTACTTTAACCATTTTGGGATTGTACTGTTTGAGGAGCTGCAGTAATGTCTTCATCGTCTTCCCTGTGTCAATTATATCCTTGAAACCCAGTGTGAGAGAAGTGCATGTTAGTAGTCTTGCAATTCAAAACTTCCTACTTTAATACAGAAGAAAAAAACAGTACATACCTCCACGATCAAGACATTCTATATAAAGAGACAAGAACAATTGTTATTCTGGTGAAAAACATGGACTGAACACATTTCATCTATATATGTGATTAAACAGTGGGAGCCACAATGGCAGTGGTAGGGAGTGGAACACAGGGGATTTCTGCCAAATGCCCAACATAGTGTTATTAGCAGCTGACTATAGAAACTATATATTCTAGATTAGAGCATTGGATTTCCTTGAGTGTAGCATAGCCATTGTCATTATTAATTACTATCATAATTTTTTGATAATTCTAATTAACAGACTTGTTTCCAAATTATTAATCAGTTCATTTAAAATGTCTGTTCATGTTGAAAATAGTGGCAACGTTAGACAGAATGGAAAACAAGAGCAGTAAAACACGTTTCTTGTTTCAAGTTCATTAATTTTAAGTTACTATTATTATTAGTAATATTCAGTCAGAGTGTCAACAAGGATTGTTTTAGTCATAATAATGCTGCCCTCCATACTTCTCACCTTTCCCGTCAATGTAGACAAGTCATCTCCACCAATAACTTTGATTTCACCTGTCGACTGGTCATTCTGTAAAGACAAGAATGTGAGGACAACAAGGAAATGTTGCAGATTTCACATTATAACAGGTGCACAAAGTGTATCAAGGAACAAACATGTATCAAACATGTATGAACTACACAAAGATGGTGAACGTTGAAAAAAAAGTAGCAAGATGTGTTGCATATTGTATAATATGGTAGTTGTATATGTATCAAAATATAAAGCACTTTAGATAAAAACGCAATGTAAAATGCAGCCATTTTCCCCGATGCGCTTAACTCCATATAGTCATGTAACGGTCATGGATGGAAACATTGGTTAAAATTTTCACTACATTCGGATGGAAATCTGACTATTGACACTTAGCACATGTGCTGAAAGTATTTCAGTCCTTACAAAAGCACTTACAAAGCTGCTTCTTTACTAATTTAAATCTTGCATTTTTACATTCATGGTTGCTAACATTGCATCTTTGTCTTTCCTGCCTTTGATGGCACATTGCTAAACTTCTTAGCACCACCAAATGTTGATCAGTGGAGAAGCGTATAATTTTTGTCAACAATGTGTCCTGCATCACCCGTGTGCTCATACACATGCATGTGCATCCTCGTCTACATCTCACAAAATACAAATAACATGGGGAAAGGCTTGTAAAAAAAATTGCTATATAGTGGCACTAATGGTCAAAAACACCATAGGGTACTTTTAAGTGCACAAAGCTGTTTTGTTTTTTATAAATGTCTGGCTGTCTTTTTTTATTTTGCATACTTTATAGTTGTAGCAGTGTATTGTGACTTGTAATGCGTTTTGTTTTATGTTACCTGCCTGGATGTAAATTAGCATTTTTGTACAATCTGGCATGTTTACATTGTGTATTATGTACTGATGTTCATTAACATGTATTGTCCCTATCAAACAAATAAATAAATTTAAAAAATCTTTTCAAACAAAAAAGAATAGAAAGTGACTGCTATGATTTAAAAAAAAAAAAATCAACAATAATACATTACATCTTAATACAAAAAGAAATACAAAGAGGAAAACTGATCAATTACATAGTAGCTCTTGAGACGAATGAAGTCCACTGTCATTGGGATGGAGCGGTCACTGTTCCTGTTCAGAGCCTTGATGTAGTCCAGTAGGTCTGCAAAGAACTTGTACCCCCCTTTGAGCACACAGAGGGCCACAATGTGGTGCCCTCCCATTTCCTTCATGATCTCTCTGGCCAGTCTCTCTGTCCTGGGGTCACGTGGGGTGGGGGGTGGCTGGGTGCGGTGGGGCCGGTGTTTAGACAAAGATAGAGATAGAGTGAGAGTGAGAGTGAGAGTGTGAGAGAGAGAGAGGGACACAGAGGGGTTCGTCAGCCCAGTTTTCTGCTACAGTCAGCAGTAGTTTCCATTTCCTCTCTGTTTGTGTCAGCAGACATAGCTGTTCATTTCTAAACACTCCCAAGTATAATAACCACACAGATCCGGGTAACAGAAGTTACCAAAACACCAAAAGGCTGTCTGCATTAATCATTAAATAACAAATGTGCACATGGAAATAAAAAAGCAAAATGAAACACTTCAACTGAGGTACAAGTTCAACAGACAGCTGATGTTTTCTTGACAGTTATACGATTTTTTTCCAAACCACTGGGAAAAACATAATCATAATCAGATCTACTAAAAGTTTAAATGGTGTTGGACTTTGTTGTTGTTAAGATTAGGAAAACCCACAGGATTGGGTGTTGAGACAGACCAGTCAACCAATCATTGAGAACACCCACTTTATATTTGACCCTGACAATTCATTCCATTTTCACCACACTGCTAGGAGCCTCTAAAATGCAGCAACCCACCTGTCCAAGATGAGTCCATGGGGTATGTAGACCCTCTCCAGGTCTGCAGCATAGTGTTTTGGTATGCAGAAAAGGTCCAGGTCGTACCCCTGCTCCTCATCACTGATCTGAAATAAAAAAAACATGACACAAAGGGGTTAAAAAAATCTCAGAGGCATTAACTTACATGGGACACTGAGCATTCACCTGATACAGGGCAGTATGAGGGGAAGGGGATGGGGTCAGTGGTGGTCTACTTTCCCTATTGACTCCCTCCATACATTTCTTTGCCTCAATAGATTTTCTGCCACAAAACACAAACTCAGAGGACAACGCCTGATTCTGTACAGCAAGCTACCAGATTCCCCCCTCGCCCTACACTGAGGCAGTTGTCTGTGGCAGTAAACACTAACTTCTAGAAAGAGGATTCCTTTAATTGTACTTACTTAGTCATGATTAAAGAAGATCTCTTCTAAGTAAACACTTTGTCCAAACAGTCAAAAATTGGCATCTGAGATGTCTTTTCAGAAATTTCCATACAATGCATAGTCTGTAAATGGTTGTTTTATTTTATATATTTTGTAAAATCAAATTGTAAAATCAAATTGTAAAATCAAATTTCCTTCTCTAGCTCAAACTGCATGCCACATGAACTCAGACAGCATAACTTGTATCATGTGACAGTGAGAAGCCGGTGCAGAGCTCGAGGTGCTGTGGGAATAATGCGAGTGACCATAGGCAGATTCACAGTATTTATCTTCCCAAGTCAACAAAATCCTGTTGCTTTACTAAACAGCGGACTGCAAAGCGCCCATCCCCACGTCACATGTGGTTGAACTAGAATAAAGCGCTTCACCTTCTGCCTGCTGAAATGATTAAAAAAGAGGTCCATCTGTTTGGACTACATCCATTCACTTACAAATAATAATGACTGAAGCCAAGCAGATGTCCTCATGGTCACATGATCTTAAGTGTTGAGCATTTTACACTGTTACTCACAGGCTTGTCAGCTGTTTCAGCAATGAAATTAGAAAGAAAAACATGACAAACAACTCAATGAATTTGTCTGAGGTCAATGGGAGGCCGACCTTGAAGTTTGTGCTAACAAAGTCCATGTTTGGCAACCCTGCTCTGTACAATTAATTTAATTTTAGATGTTACACAGGAGGCAGGATCCACCACTTCTAATGCTGTTTTAGCAAAACGTGCATTTAGTTTCATTTTTTGTCAGCCAGTGGGTCTGCCAGTCTGCTGACTTGATGACACAATAACTGGCTTGTAAATGTCCCAGATATCCTGGAAAATGGAGCATTGGTCATTTATTTACTTATTCCAGCATGAAGGCCATCGTTGTCTCATCAGTTTATCTATGTGCTTTCCTTCAAACTGAAATAACAGAGTGGAAAGATAAAGTAAGCAAACCCTTTGGAGGCTTACCCCTATTGATGTATATATTTGTCCTGAAATATGGTCAGATCTTCATCCAAGTTACAACTATAAACACACACTTTTTATTTTAACAAATACCACACAAATCATTGTGTTGTTCTTGTCCATATTGAAAACACCATTCAAACATTCACAGTGTCGGCTAATGACATTAACAAAAGCTAATTGGAGTTATTGGTGCTGGTTAACATCTCTGTTCATGAGTCGACCATACACAGATCATGGTGCATGGTTGCATGGAGCATGGCGTCCTGCAACAGACACTACAGGGGAAGTTGGTGCTCTCCAAAAAAACATTGCTGCACCCCTGGAGTTTGTCAAAGAGCAGCTGGACACTGCACAACACTACTGGGAAAATGTTTTACGCACTGATGAGACTAAGGTTGAATAGTTTTGGAAGAACATTTGGCACTGTGTACAGTATGGTGTAAAAAGGGCAGTGCATATCAACATGAAAACATCATCCTTAAGGTGAAGAAAGGAAGAGGGAGCATCATGACTTGGGGCTGTGCTGCCTCTGGGCCTGGACAGCTTGACATCAGCGAGGGGAAAATGAACTTTTACCGAGGTACTGTATCTTACAGGATAATGTCAGGGTGGATGTTTACCTGCTGAAGCTCAGGAGAAGCTGGGTGATGCAGCAGGACAATGATCCTAAACATAAAAGTAAATTTACTACAGAATGACTTCAAACAAAGAAAATCCTCTTTCTGTAGAGGCCCAGGCAGAGCCCAGACCATAACCCAACAGAGATGCTGTGGAATGACCTGGAAAGAGCTGCTTACACCAGACATCCTGAGAATATGTCTGAGCTGATGCATTTCTGGCCCAAAATTCCTCCTGAACACTGTGCAGGTCTGATCGGCAGATATTGCATGTGCTTGTTTGAGGTTATTGCTGCCAAAGGAGGTTGGACCACTTATTAAATCCAAGGGTTCACTTACTTTTTACACCAGCACTGTGAATGTTTAACGGGTGTGTTCAATAAATACACAGAAGATCATAATTATTTGTTTGATATTAGCTTAGGGACACTGTGTTTGTTTACATTTGTGACATAGATGACGATCACATCACAATTCATGACCAATTAAAGCAGAAAACCAGGTAATTCCAATGGGTTCACATATTTTTTCTTGCCACTGTACATACAGTGGGGTCTAGAGGGGTCAAGTCTGACAGCATTTCCCCTCAAATTTACCTGAAATTCCTGTTCAGCTTGTAACAACTTTCACAAAAAGTTCAACTGGAACAGAACAGAGATAACAAGGAGACTTTCTTTAAAAGGTGGAAAGATATCGATCTGTGGAGTCAGCTGTACAATACGAGTTAGCTTTTAACCATGAATGTCTAATTTGAATTTGCTTGTAGCACCAAGATAACGCCTGCTCATCTTTGATGCCATTTCCTGAGATTGTTAACCTCACTAAATGTTACTGATTCACCAGCAAGGGCTGTTTATCCAATTCCCTCTCTCTCTGAAACACAACCACTGTCAACAACCAATCAGCTCTTTTCCAGATAGGTTTGAAATCTTTAGTACTTCTTATTTCTCCCAGTGAGACCTAAAGACACTAAACCCTGTGTGTTTTGTTTTGAACACACTGTACTGCTGGATAGACAAAAATTTTCCCCTTGAAGGCAAATTTACATTTTCCCATACACTCATCTTGTTGTGTTCAAAATTACATTAGATTCATAATTGCTGACATAACTAATGTTTAGACAGAGGTCTAAAGGCAACAGGTAATAAGTTATACACAAAACCGTTATGCTTAGCACTGTTAGTGTTTGTTACCAATATTGAAGAAGACCGGCTCAAACACGCCCCCTTGTTTGCAGCTCGTCCGTGTCTTGCTGCGTAAGTGTATAAACGTGTAATAATGTCAATACATATAGTGCAACCTGCAGTTAGACGCACAAAGCTGCACACAAGGATTGACTGTCTCCAATGTGTCTCCTGCGTCACATACGCAAAACGTGGAGAGCGCGTGCTTTCCAAAGCCGCAGGCCACTCAAATCATTATTTACAAATTAAAGCTCGTTACCAAGGTGAGCACCCAGGCAACACATACAGATGATTCGCCACTAACGTAAACAGTAGATCGCAGATTTTATATCAAACGCAGTACGTGCGTGTACGGGGTGTTACTCAAGGGGCATGTAGAGGTAACCTACGACCACCTTCTGTCTTAATTTAATTCCGGTTGTTGGTAGGAACTTACCACAACACAGGAACTGCTGGATGTCGCCATTCGGCCGTTCGGTCTTATGAAGCCTACCGTGGACTTCAGATCGAGAAGACTACGACGTGATCTCAGGTTAGTTTGGCGGACTTCTCAACCTTGTGACAACAGCACACACATAGAAGCAGATAGCTTCCTCGCTAGAAGAGGCTGCTTCTGCCTTTTCTTCTTCTTTGGTGTTGGTGGTTGGCTTAAAGCAGCTTATTGGAGCATTACCGCCACACAGGAAGCAGAGCCAGGGGTCTGTCGGGCGAATCAAATGAGCAGGACCGGGTTAGCCCCGCCCACCGTGGGGTGGAGGGGCTCGAGCTGTGAGCGAGACAAGTTGTCAACATCTAACTACGGTGCAAAGTGAAAAGAGTTTAAAACTCAGAAATACAGAATAAAATACAGGCATTAAGAAAAAAATATCTCATTGTCGTCTTTATCTCCTCTCTTTGTACAGATGTGGATATAAGTTAGTTGTTTAGTAGCACACATACCCATAGGCCAGACTCTAAAAGTGAAGTGCACCACATGATCTTGACCTTGGACAGAACTACTGATTACCGTTTCAGGGCAAGATGATCAGTTGATTATACAGTTTGCAATGCTATACTGTAAAATAAAATAATCATTATTTTCATTACAGAGATTAACTGACATATTGGTTTGTAAAATGACCACCATTACCCTAAAGTGACACTTTCACACTACTTGTTTAATAAAATTATTAAAATAATTCTAGGGAAAAAGCTGAAAATCCTCACACTTGAGAAGCTGGAGCCATGAAATGTTTGGCATTTTGGCATGAAAAATGACCAATGGACTACTTGCCATTAATTTTCAGTCAGTCCACTAATCAATTAATCAACCTGTTATTTCAGCACTAATTGTAGATACTGCTATATTACCAGTTAAAAGTTTGGACACACTCTGGTACATTAGGTAGTTTAATCTGTAACAAAAAATCATATTTTATGAGCTCTTCATATGTTTTGATGCAAAATCTTCATTTGTATGGTAACTAGTAACTACAGTTGTGAAATAACTATAAACATATCCTATAAAGTGTCATGAAAAGATAATACTCAGGTACTTCAGATTTGTACTTAAGTACAGTTATTGACTGAACGTAACTTAGCTGCACTACTCCACCACAGTTGAGGACAGTAATGTACAGGGGTTTTATTTGCTGATTCCAGTAAAGATTCAATATATTAAAATCTGACAACCTTTAAGCCAAGAAAATAAATGAATCAGGATTCAGTATTTCTCTACAAGAAATTTATTCCTTGCTTTATAGAGAAAATTTTAAACAGTAGACTTAGACCTTCATTTTGGGAATTGTTTGCAGAAACTATAGTGAACAGTTGGTTGGATAAAATATTAAAAACTTTCCTTTTGGTGTCTGATCAGACTGTTATGAGGAGGTTGGAATGTGTGCTTTGGACTTTGCACCTCATTATATTAAAGTCATAGAAAGTTACTAACATCATATAATAATGTTACACTGACATTTGCTATTAAAGTAAACTCCCATGCCGCAAGTTAGTTCAAACAAACAGCCAACTTACTCTTTAAACCAAAAATGATGATGCCACACTTTTTGAAGTTTGTCCACTAAAACTGAATTAGTGAGTTTTGAAATTGCATTCAGAAGTTTAAGTGTTAAAGAATACGTTCAAATTTTTTCATGACTCCTGTCCTTAAATGGCCTGAGGAGATGTCTTCCTGACAATATAAGTGATAGGGGACACAAACTAAAGTTGCTGTTTTGTAAAACTCCACTCCAGAGTTCAGTCAAAGCCAAACTGAAGCTTCAGCTGCCTCAGTTAGACAAATCAACTAAGCACCAGAGTTAGAGTTAGTGTCTTTTAAGTACAAAATTTCCTACTTGAGTGTGCAGCATTCTTTTAATGTGGGGGTTAGAGGTGCCAAACACGACCAGCAACATCCTGTCTCCTCTGCATCACCATCTTTCTCTTCCCTTATTTCCTGTCATATTGTCTTCACAGCATGAAGACTCTTCATTTTTTCCCCATCTTTTACGCGAGTTGAGTTGTCAAGTGATCTTTTTACAGCCAAGAGAAACGATTACAGCTTCAATAAATCTACCAGTGAAGATAGGCTTGGAAAAATGTGAACCTGAGACCAAAAAAGGCCACCATCATGGTTATTTATTGCTGTATTATTCACTGTCTGAAGAGCAGCTCCAGAGTTTATATCATATTCCACAGCACAAGCTAATACTAAGGTGGTTTGAATGCGTAGTGTGTTCACACTGGAGGCACCAAAACTAAAATAGTATGCTGCTGATGTTCACTATTGTCCCACAATACAATTCATAAAGGAAATGGAGAAGATACTCACAGCTGCAAAATATTAAAACAAATTGCAGATGGTGGAGAAACAGAAACAGATGAAAAATGATCCTGGAAAACCCCAAAATGAGTATTAACTATTTGCAAATACACACTGCTTTCTCTTTGTGGGATTAAATTGGAGGTGGCTCTCTACAGTTGGTTTCTGATGTTTGTTAGCACACATATTGCATCATCTCCTCTTAGTACTTTAGTCTTGTCTAACTGCAATCAGTGTACTTTGATCATTAGTATAAGGTTATGTATACGATAGGTCTTTTTCATGGAAGGCATTTTGACATAACACAGTAGGAAAAGCACAGGTGTAATTAATGTAACTAATTATGGTTGAATTCCATTTAGCTGCTTCAGTTTCAGGGTCCTGGTGTTGTTCAGGCAGATTCACTGTCACACTGTCAGGGCACCTGAACGGGACAGATCCATAGTTATTATTATGATTATTATTGTTATCCAGATGTTATTACTAACACCTGTGTTTTTCTTACAAAGTTAAAATGTCTGCTGTAAAATAGACCTATTATGTAATTGCTGCACTGCATAACACAAAAACTAAGCTGTGCAACACTGTAAGAACATCATGCCAACTTTGTTGTACTGTAATTATCTCCCCTTTTATGTATTAGTGTATTTCATTATTAAATGGACATGAACAGTGCTTTGAAGACTTGCATTGAAAACATGAGGAAATCTCCAGGTTTACCAATTAAAGCTAAGATCACCATTTTTAATACCCACAAAATCTTATTGGATTACCAAAGGCTTTAATATAAATGATATATAATAATAATAATAATATAAATGATTTGACTTGTATCATACTACACTAAGGCTTTACTATAAACTACTATTTTATATACTTTATATATTTTGAAATACTACTCAAATGCAATTTTTATTTTTGCATAACCAACGTTCCAGATGGAAGTGTGAGGCGGACGCATGTATGGAGAGTGTATGCTTGAGGTAATCTTGCATAACAACGTGATCTGAGACGTCATGACCTTGCAGCCAGTGTGACATTCCTCACTCTTCAAACCTCTTCAACAACCTGTGACCTGCCATCAGTGCTGCTTTCTGTTTTGAGTACTCTATGGACACACATTCAAATAAAAGACTCAGTAAAAGTGTAAAATAAAATATTTTCTATTTCCAATCATTCATGGATACATTTGTAGAGATACAAGTAACAGTACATCAAACAAAGTCAAGCCAACTCTTCTAAAGAGCTCTACCTTGCCCTTTAGCAGCTAAATAAAAAATGCCACCTTTAACAGTGGAAAAATGCAAGTGCATGCTGGCAGAACTTGTAATCGTGACTGTCTGAAATCCAGATATTCAAAATTACTTATGATGATAATAATAATAATAATACAGTAGCAAAATATTACATATCAAGAAAGAAAGGCTAACATGAAAAGAGTATTCTTAAGACATGATTACAGAAACAAGGTAATCAAACTGCACAACTTCGTAGAGAGACTAGTAACAAACAGACCCCTCTTAAAAGTGAGTCCTTCAGAAGCTAAGGAAGAGAAAGAAGAAGAATAAGAGGTTTTCAGCAAGTGTGGGTCATGTCATGTCTGGGAACATGGGCAGTGAGTGACAATCAAAAGATCAGCTCTTATTCACGGCAATAATACATGTATTTGAAACTGAGCCCATAACCGATTTTTGGGAAAGATTAGCCATGGCTTTTCAATATCCTGCAGCAGTCCTGTGCTCTGCTGAGTACCACCAGTCTGTGAAAAGCTCATCCAGTCAACTCAAAAACAGGGTTTCATGAAGGAGACGCCTGGTGCACACCGGGAGATCATGTCCATTTACTGGAAGAAATCGTGTGAAGGACTCGTAGGGGGCCTGCAGACCATGACTTTGTGAGTATGCTAAGATTTAGTATAAAAAAATATCTCTCACTCGTCCGTGTTCTTCTGTTTTCTCCCCATGTCACATCCATCAAGATGACCTGAACCAAAAAATAAGAAAAAAAAAAAAAAAAATCTAAATCTCCCCATTATTTAGTATTTCATCACTTTTCACATGACGCAGTTTTAACAATCATTTTTTAATAACGTACCTAGTTGCCGTTCACTTGTGTCGACGGTGTTCTTCCGTGGTCGATTGCTGCCCTCTCTCTACTGCGATTCTCTCGTTCCTCATCTTCTTCATCCCTCTCCTCATTCCCACTGTGGTTCTTACAGTATAGTCTAAAACACATACACACACCATCACATACACGCATAGGAGTGGTTGTAAGCATAGCGGACAGCTTCTCTACTGGTTTTTATTCAGAAATGTCAACAGGTCGACATGCTGTGGGGTTAATCTTTCAGTCCCTGCTCAGATGGTACTGATGTCCGAGGATATTTTAAATGTTTAACTGATAAGTATTAAACTGTCAAACTTCTTATTGTCGGTTAACGTTTCAGCGGTTAATAATGAACAACAGTAATGTAAACCAGTGAACACTTTAAAATTCTGATGTGGTGGCTTTTAAATTACTGTTTATGGTCAGAACAGGGCAAACAGCAAAACATTTCATAAATCTGAGGGAGAACATTCAAACAATTATAATGATAAAATCTCACCTGGCTAATCTAAAACCTAACCTACGTGATGCATACCCCTATTCCTATGTGAGTGACAGATTGTGATTCATTTCAGCCCATGCTATCTAAACTTGTAAATTAATCATACTGAACATTTATCCACCATTTGTTATATTTCTAGGAAAATGATAATGATTATATTATTTAATATATTATATCATTATTATAATTGTTTTTATTGTTTTATCGCCCAGCCCTACTGTCAAAGTGGTATGGAGTTGGAGTTAAAGACACACAAATACGTTTTTACACACTGTTTTGATGAGCGGGTCCCCATTTTGTTTGGATTGTGCATGTGCACAAGGACACACATGTTGGTGGTCACACACAAGGAAAGATA